GCTCTCATCTTTCTTTGTTTAGATGTGGAAACAGTTCTCAGGAGTCATCACTTCCTTTAGGCACTACTATACGTGAACTTTTAGCCCGGAAGGTACACTAGTTTCCATTTTGTGTTCTTACTGTGGTAGTAATCTGTAGTCTTATTGAGCCAATATTTTACTGCATTGTCAATCTTTTTACTCTGATTCTTTATTCTTTCAAATAGAAAGCAGGAAATGAAGCTTTCCAATCTGGAAAGTTTGCAGAAGCTCTGGATCATTATAATACTGCTATATCATGCAGTGTTGAATCACTGCCTTTTGCAGCCATCTGTTTCTGCAACCGTGCTGCAGTCCATCAAAGTTTGGGACAAATTATTGATGCTGTTGCTGATTGCAGTGTAGCCATGGCTCTAGACAAAAATTACACAAAGGTTTTCCTTCATAAACAAACTTTATTTTATGTCAAATAAATAATTTCTCATGTATGTTTCCTTGTGTGCAGTGTAACAATCTCTCTTTGTGTGCGTTTCAGCAAATTATTGTTCTTTCTTTCTTGAGTATTTTATCACTTCTTGACATTTTTGTTAAAATGGTGTTAATGGCGGATAAGCCAGAAGAGTGAGTAGTTTTCTGCCAGTGTAGCATTTAATGAATCTGCACTCTGTTTGCTTAGTGCTTGCTGTTGTATGTGCATGCCAGGTAACCTTGCATTTGTTGCAACAGTTTGCAGCAACATAGCTGTAAGTAGGATAGGTAGGTCATAGGTGGTGTATTATCTGTTTCATATTTGTCCTATAGGTTTGTGCTGTTGCTTCTAGGGACATCTCCTTTGTAATTTTCTGGTATATGTAGAATTTTAGTAAAAGCATGACTATTTGTGACCTATTTACGAACAAATCTACTCAGGAAGTTGACATCCATCCTCACTGTGAAAATCATCTTGCACCCTATATCTCTAGGAAAACAAAACAAAAATATTAGAAAGATGCATTTTATGTCAATCATAGAAAGAAATAGTTGGTGATTGGAGTGGAGATCACTTTGCTTCTCACTATTGATGTTTCATGTGAGGCATCAAAGCTTGTTTAATTGGTCATTTATTCTGGTCAGATTCTGTAGTTGAAATCTGTCAATCTGAGTCTCATTTATTCTGGCAGGCAGCATCAAGGAGGGCTACTTTGCATGAGATGATTAGAGACTATGAGCATGCAGCTACTGATCTTCAGAGGCTTATATCCCTGCTAGAAAATCAATCACAAGAAATGGATCATCAAGCTGGATCACAAGATAGATCTAAGGGTAGCAATTTGAAAGAACTAAAAATAGCTCGCCAACGTCTCTCCTCAATGGAAGAGAAGGCAAAAAGTGAAATTCCCTTGGATCTTTATCTCATATTGTGAGTTGATGTCTCCTTACTGATATGCATAAAAAGCTTTCATCTTTAATCTTCCTAAAGAGACAAACTAAGGGAAAAAGCCCTTAATGTTGTGATTTTGTCGAGCTTCTTTTTAATTGAAAAGGAAAAAAAAAAAAAAAAAACTCCATAGATGCATAAAAAAAACTCCATAGATGCATTCAAGCTACTCAGTATTAATCATCTCCAGTTCTATTTGGCAGGGGAATCAAAGCATCTGATCCTGAATCAGACATCAAGAAGGCATACAAGAAAGCAGCCTTAAAGCATCATCCTGACAAAGTATTGAGATTATAAATCAGTTGTATATGGTTGAATAGATTGTCAATGTATGTACTATATATACTCATGTTTGGTGGTCTATGGTGATGTAGGCTGTTCAGTTTTTGGCAAGAAGTGAGAGCATGGATGATGGACAGTTGTGGAAGGATATCTGTGAGAAAGTTCAGAAGGATGCTGACCGTCTTTTCAAGATGATTGGGGAAGCATATGCTGTTCTCTCAGATTCTGAGAAGGTATGCTTGTTCTATGTAAAATTAGTGCTACTGCTCTCCCTGGTTTAGAATGAGTGCATGAAGTATCTTTTTCATCTTTGTGCAGCGCTCAAAGTACAATTATGAAGAAGAAATCAGGGCTGCCCGCAAACAAAACAAATGGAACTATACCCGTGACAAATCATCTGAATCTAACAACTCGCCTTTTGAGAGGGCTCAGAGATGGTCAGAGTTTTACAGTCCTCCATTTCGACGAAGCAGTAATAGGCGTTATGGGCAAGAGTCGTGGAGAACACATGGAAATTCTCATTCCGATTGGTAAAAGGAGTTTGCTGCAGGTCTTTTGCTTGGCTGGGATCAAGGTTTTGAGTGAGATAGCTAGTTCGGGTAAAATCTTCGAGCCTTAGAGATATGGCCTGTCTCAGCCCAGATATGAATAACCAGCCTGGGAATTTGGTTTCATGGAGACCAACATTTTGAAGGACATAAACAATGTTGAAAGTGGAAAGCTATGGGTGGGGAGCCCGAGCCAGAGTCCAGTTCAACGCTGCTAACCAAGACGGTTGGCCTGCCTGATTGGACGAACTTTTAGTGCTGTGAACTAGCTAGCTCTATACTTATTGTTAATATTAATTAAATCATAAAGTGATTAGTGGAAATGAAAATTCAGAAGTGAGGACGCTGCCCGCCCTTCTGGATATGTATTTCCTTCTGTGAATGTGATTAGTACTAGGATGAGATGAAATCATCTTTTTATTACTGGAGTAAATTTTACTTGATTATCTTCAGGCAAAATTTTCCATTACCGAAAGGAAACTTCACATTGGAATCATGTGACTATATCTACTAAAGTTGAACTGGAAATTTATAGGTCAGTTGAGGAATATGTAAAAATGTCAATTCAAAATTTAAAATTAAAATCAAGCAGAAAACTAATTTGATATCGGCTGGCTTCAAAAGTCAAAACAAAAAGTAGAAAACTAATTTGATATCAAGCACAGTTGAAAAATTGCCACCTTCAAATCTTCTCTTCATACTCTAATTGAAAAAGATTCTACATACTCTAATTGAAAAAGATATTTTAGAATAGTTTAATTTATTAGGTTGGGTGTAATCAGTTCAGATTGTAGGTTCAAGTTAGGTTGGGTAAAGGGTACTCTAATTAAAAATGATATTTTAGGGTGGTTTATATATTAGGCTAGTGTATTCAGTTTGTAGGTTCAATTTAAGTTGGGTAAGGGGTTTCTTTTTGGGTTTCTCCCCCAAGCCAGATGTTAGAATGGTTCACAAGTCAAGTTTTAATTTACACTTGGTGGATGTTCTGACGGATTGTCTTGTATTGAAGAATGCCGTAAACTCAGTATCTACGCCGAATTTATCTTACGTTGGAATCATCGTAGATCAATGTAAGCCAGCTATCGGTAGTTTTAATTATTGTTCGCTCAGTTTTATTATTAGAACGTTAAATTTACATGCGCATGCATTAGCTAGATTAGCTTATGATCAGGATCACTCCATGTATTGGAATTTGATCCCTCCTGACTCTATCGTTCAGTTCTTGAATTAATATATTGGTTACGCCATTTTTCAAAAAAAAAAAAATCAAGAGTGTCATGATCAACTCATCATGACTAAAGTCATCTCAAATTCAAAAAAAACTATCTCAGTTTTCAATCTAAAAAATTCATCTTGAATTCTCTATTCCACTGCATTGCGTATCATGCTCATTAAAAGCATACTATAACCACGTGAATAAGATAAATCATTAATAATATGATAAACTAATCCTAACAAACTAATTAGATAAACAAAATTAATAAAATAATTCTAACAAACTAAATATAATTCTAAGATGTTGAAAGAATATTCAGAATAGGCAAAGAGAAAGGAGAATCATCTCTTATTCATCAACCATCTGTACAACATTACAATGATATATATAATCTCTATCGTACCTTTAGGACTCTTACAGCATTAAAAATCCTATAGTATTGAGAATCCTATCATCAATATAAAACCAGAATAATGTCCACAACATAAGGTTTTACAACACTCTCCCTTGGGACATTTTTTTGTCATAAAAAACTTGTTAGGAAAACTTGTGGGGGAAACCTAGACAAGAAAAGAGTACAATAGAAAATATAATCATGCCTCATTGAAAACTTAACTAGGAAAACCGCGTGAGAGAAACCTAGGATAGTTGAAGAAAAGAGTACATGATATATGTAAAAACATATATTGTATTGGTCGCCCATTAAAAACCTAACTTAAGAAAACCCTGGCACAATCTGCATAATCAATTAGTTGAGGAAAAGAGTGCATGTATGTGTATTCTTGTTTTAGATTAGCTCGCTGCCTCATTAAAAACTTTAGATTTAACCTCGTGAAAAAAACTTAACTAAGGAAAATAGTACAGCTTCGTCAAGACCCAATCTTCAAGAAATAATCTTTAATTCCCATACATTAAATATATATCCAAAATTGTAGAAATGGATTAGTTAAATCTTCTGGATTGTCACTAGAGTGAATATCTTGTATAATAATTTTGTGACTCTTCTAGAGCTCGTATTGGTTGACTCTGTGTGCTTCCGTAGGTTGAAAAAGTATGTTTAAACATATATTACAATGTAATAGAGTCGGTAGCATTTAAAAAAAAAAAACATTACAATATAACAGAATCAGTAGCATTAAAAAAAAACATCTAACAGAGTACAGAAACGTCTACGGGAGAAGAAGAAACTTTTACGGGATGATCAAATGTAAATTCAAAATTTAAAACAAATTAACATATATCAATCATAAAGCTCGATAATAAATTCGAAATAAAAGTTTGCCTCTTCACATTCTTTAACCTTCTTAATTCTGTGCCGATTGAAGCCATGATATGATATGATATATATATATATATATATATATATATATGGCTGTCATAAATACATGCATTGATGAGGTAATTAAACCGTTGATCTAAAACTAGTTTTCTCATGATAAGCTAAAAAAAGTTGTCAAATAAGTCTCTTAAGTATAATTTGCTTTATTTATTCTCCAAGGCCACAAAAAACTCATGACTCATGAGGGCTAACTCTTCTTTCTTCTTTCTTAATTAGCTTGTTCCTTGCAAAATCCATTAAGTAAGGTCTTCTTCGTTCTATCGCTGACTGCGCCCAGAAAACGCATGAATAGAGATGAGGAGTCAGGAGGGTGCTGAGTACGAATCATGTGTGAGATGGCGAATCAGGTGGCCTGGCCTGGGTGCTAGCTTAGCTTCTTTACATTTCACAATATTCTTCAATAATTCTTCTGCAACTTTTGCTTACTGCTATATATATATAATCATCATATCATGCATATATACAACTTCCAAAGCATTCGCATGATATTCACTCCAAAGCTCACACCTTTATATTACGCCTTTACTTTCGGCTATATATATATATATAGCTATCTGACGTTTTTCAGGGGAAACCAAGCTTTTAAGGCTGGTGATGTATCCAAAGCTGAGAACTTGTATACTGAAGGCATAGAGTGCTGCATTCAGCCTCTGTTATTATGCTATAGCAATCGTGCCGCCGCACTGATGTCGCTTTGTAGGATTAGGGAAGCCATCAACGATTTGGCCGTCGCCCTTGCTTTGGACCCTAGCTTTCTCAAAGCAAAGCTTAGAACTGCAACGTACGTAGGCCATGCATCTCTTTTCTTCTTCATCTTGCTTTTTAGTTGCGCCCTAAAACCACCACCAATTTCATATGTAGGTTATTATCATTGTTGAAACTTGAAAATGGAAGTAGTAGTACTCTTTTTTTTTTTTTTTTTTTGAGTGACGAGGAAATCTGCCCCACTACACAGGGTATGCAGTGAGTAAACATGAAAAATCTTGCTTTGTGATCCTGGAAGGTAAACTACTCTAGATTATCCATAGCTGTTCGGTTCAAACTAAGAAGATCAATATGATGCTCTTGTAGGAAGTCTAACTTGTAACCTTATTGCCCTCAAGTTAATAGCTTGATCAACTTGACTGGAGTTGCCTTGACTGATTTCATATTTAGGTTACTTATGATTAATGTTGAAAATTGAAGTAGAAATTAGTGATCTTTCTTAATTGCTTACACATCTAATGGTGGATGTTTATTGCAATTATTTAATTATATAATATGCAAATGAATAAGTACTTGTTTTTTTTTTTTTTTTTTTTTTAAATTTTATTACCAGGTGTTACCTGCTGCTGGGAGAAGTGCAAGAAGCAATGCAGTATTACAAAAGCTGCATGGAATCGAGAATGGGCATGTGCTTGGATAGGAGAATTGCAATTGAAGCTGCAGATGGTCTACAAAAGGCAGAGGTGACTTACTGTTACTTACATTTTGTGTTTGATCTATATATATTGTAGATGCAGGAACCCCTTTTGTTGTTTGCATTATCATTTTCTATTCGTCTCTCTGGCACAGCACTTGATTCTGTAATCATTATTTCTGGCAGAAAGTGGCTGAGAGTTTGCATAGGTCTGCTGAACTCTTAAAACAGCAAACTTGTGATGCTGCAAGAAGTGCTCTAGAAATTATTGCCGATGCATTGTCTATAAGCATCTATTCAGAAAAGTTACTTGAAATGAAAGGAGAAAGTTTATGCAAGGTCTGTGATGATTACAGATTATATAAGTAGGATCGGAGCTTCCTGATTATTATTTTGTCCTTTCTGCTCTAGTCAGACAATATCTATAATTTTATTACGATGTTTTACAGTTGCAGAAGTATGATGAGGCAATTAAGCTGTGTGAGCAGACTCTTGATTTTGCTGAAAACAACTTTGCTAATGATTCCGTAAGGCTGTGGAGATGGCGCATTATGTCAAAATCCTACTACCATCTTGGGAAGCTTAAGGAAGCTCTTCATCTGATCAAGAAGCAAGAGCAAGTAATTTTTGTCAATGATGGGTAAATCTCTCTTCCTATTCTGTTTTAGAAATTGTTGTCCTTTTAGCAAAAAAAATTGTTTTGGTTGATGTATTAATGATGCTCTCGCCTTTCTTTGTTTAGATCTGGAAACAAATCTCAGGAGTCATTGATTCCTTTTAGCCCAAAGGGTATGCTAGCTTCTGTTTTGAGTTCTTACTATGATTGTAATGTGTACCGCTATTGAGCTAATATTTTACTGCAATGTTTATAATGTCCTCTCAAATAGGAAGCCGGAAATAAAGCTTTCCAAGCTGGAAAGTTTGCAGAAGCATTGGATCATTATAATGGTGCTATATCAAAAAGTGTTGAATCACAGCCTTTTGCAGCCATCTGCTTCTGCAACCGTGCTGCAGCTTATCAAGGTTTGGGACAGATTATTGATGCCATTGCTGATTGCAGTGTAGCCATGGCTCTAGACGAAAATTACGCAAAGGTTTTCCTTTAGACTCGAACTCCATTTCATTTCGTGCTCTCATTTATTCTGGTCATAGAATCTATCAAAATATAATCTGGTCGAGTCTGTTGCAGGCAGCTTCAAGGAGGGCTACTTTGCATGAGATGATTAGAGACTATGTGGATGCAGTTACTGATCTTCAGAGGCTTATATCCCTACTAGAAAATGAAGCACAAGAAAAGGCTGGCAGTATTTCGAAAGTATTAAGAAAAGCCCGCGAACGTCTCTCCTCAGTTGAGGAGAAGGCAAAAAGTGAAATTCCTTTGGATCTTTATCTCATACTGTGAGTTCATATCTCCTCATTGACTTGCAAGAAAAAACCTTCATCATCTTCAACCTCCCTAATAAAGAGAAAAAGAATCACTTGGAAGTTGTAATCTGTCTGGCTTCTTTTTCATTGAAAGAAAAGAGATCAATGCATTCAATTTAGTTACTGCATATTAATCCTCACCACTTCTATCTGGCAGGGGAATTAAATCATCCGATTCTGGATCTGTCATCAAGAAGGCATACAAGAAAGCAGCCTTAAAGCATCATCCCGACAAGGTCTTGAGATTTTAAATAAGATGTATATAGTTATGTAGTGTATTCACGTTTGGTAGTCTATGGTGATGTAGGTCGTTCAGCTTTTGGCAAGAAGTGTGAGGCTGAATGATGAGCGATTGCAGAAGGATATCTGCGAAAAAGTTAAGAAGGACGCTGACAGTGTTTTCAAAATGATAGGAGAAGCATATGGTGTTCTCTCTGACACTGCCCAGGTATGCTTGTGCCATGTAATCAGTTGCATTATATTGTTCCTTCTATCTGCTTTGCTTTAGAATGATATGTAACTTCGTGATGGTGGCCTAGCAAATGCCAAAGCTCATCTTTAGTCTTAACTTCTGCTTGCCTGAATACCATCCAACGCGTGAAGTTGATGTTATGTTTCTATGTGCGTGCAGCGCAAAAAGTACAATCGTGAAGAAGAAATCAGGCAATCTCAGACAAGGGAGGAGTGATATAGCCTTACTTTAGAGATATGTCTTTGGTGTTTCTTGATAACTTTATTTGATTTTGGTTGTTTTGCAAGGGGTGTTTGCTTGTACATAACACTACTTTTGGTCATATGTTCGAAGTGATGAAAGACAATAGCTATGCCTGGAAGATGAGTAGTTCCAGTTCAGTACTGCATCAATCAATGCTGCTCTGAGCTCTATAGTTTTTTTTCTTTATATCAAATCATAAAGTAATTAGTTTCTAAAACAATAATACTGAATTGAATATTAAAAATTCAAATCAAATATTGTTAATTGAATGGCATACATAAAATGAATGGAAAATTTTAAATTGTAAATAGTTTAAATCAAATCTTGTTAATTGAATGACATATATAAAATAAATAAATGGAATGAGAATGTTGAATGTGTTGTTATTTCAATACGTCAAATTAAAGGTTAAAATGAAGGTGTTGTATCTCAATTAGAAATGCTGACTAATTCTCTCATTGAATTGTAAGCACTTCTAAAGGTGAAGCTAGCCTGAAGATTTAAAGTAAGCAAGTTCTAAACGATTAAAGGAACATGGAATTTGTTAGAGCAGTTCAATATGACCCGGAACTTCAATAGCAGATTTTTCACTAACTCGAATAATCAAAATAATTAATCTAAAAAAATTGGAATTCCATAAAACTAACACAATACAAGAGCATTAAAATAACTAAACCAAAACAAAACTCTTCAAAGAGTATTGACTACCAAGCAATCCTTTGGCTTCAATACCAAAACTATCTGGTCGGCTGTGCTTGTGACTGGGCATGCTCAAGAAGCTGACTCACCAACTTGTATGTACGTCCAGAAAGACCTTTTGTATGATCAATTAGCTGCTCATAACTGCGTATGATTCCCAAAAACAAAAAAGCCAATAAGAAACAATCATAGAATTGTTAGTAGGTTAATATGAATCGAATCACTATCTACTTTTTCCTATCAAACTTACACATTGGGATGAGTAGGTTCCATTATAACAGTTCCAGTTTCAGAATCAATCTTAGCATCGAGCTTGGAAGTCCTGATAAGATTCACAATCCATCTCTCCGCATCCTCATAATTCAAATTTAGTTTCTCAGCAAGAACTCTGTAACAAATAATGTCAAGTATTATGCCCCATGTACTATTATTAGAATGACAAAGAGTATAAAGAGTTTATAAAAGGGATGTAATATTTATAAAATAATAGCTCCCCGAATATCTATTTAAATTTGGTTGATAAAAACACATGAGATTTCCAGCATTTAAGAGCTCTAGTGCTTAATGCGATCGATCATGTTTGATGGAGCAGAGATGATGATTGCAAAGGAGTTTTAAGTGATGGAACAGAAGTATTTGTTACATACCCCATGTCAATGCGCTGATGAATGCGGCAGTAGGTCTCAAAGATAAAAAGGCGAGCATTTTCAAGGAATTCATCCCTCAATGGCACAGTTGAAAAATTGCCCTCTTCAACTCTTTTGCCCAAGAATGGATCATTCAAAATTACCTGGCAACATAAATGAAAAGGAAAATATATTAGAAGGATTATTAATAAATATAAATTCAAGATAAAAATCAAACATCCAAATTGAATATTTCACCTCTTCACACTCTTTCATCTTTTGCTGTGCTGCATCGAAGTCATAATTGACATAAACACAGGCCAAAAACTCAGTGATGGGGTCTGCATAAGAGTACTGCTCTGGCTGAATAACCTTTATAAAATCTTTAAACTGAGGTCGTCTTCTTTTGTTGACAATGAATGCAGTTGCCAGATAACGCAGTAGATGAGGAGCATTTGTTTGAATGGCATTCAAGTACCTAGAAGTAATTTTTTCATATTAGATAAATATTAAAAGCCATCCGTAGCATTCTAAGTTTATACACAAATTGGAAGCTTGTCAATTACAGAGACAGATGAAAACTTGATTATCAAATTTTAGGTCTGGAATTGATTAGTCTAAAAGAGTTTCAACTTTAGGTAAAACTAAGCAGGCAGCACATTTAGCAATATATACCAAATTCCTAAAGGCATGCTGATTCAGTATAAGAGGCAAGAATAAATAAGTCCAGTGACTTGAAAAAGGGAACAGATAAACCAAGTGAGCATACTTGTCCTGGTTAAACAGGTCAATGATCTGGGTCCTTCCATTGTCATGGTTGAAGAAGATGAACAGACTCCAATGCATTAACCAAACTCTGCTTTGAACTTGATGTAACGGTGTTGAGAAACTCTGCGAGACCACAATTTGTAAATTCACCTTCTCACCAGAAAACTAACAAGTGATAAAGAAAACCTCTATGAAACTTTTATAGAAAATAAAATCAAGATAAGATATTACCTTTGAGTCAATAATTTCCTTCAAGCGATTTAGTTCCTCAAGGGCAATATCCCAATTCTGCATTAATATCTCAGCAGCTAGCTTGCCCCACAACGCACTCAGGCTTCTGTCACTGTTTGTGCAAAGAGCCCGGTATTGATACAGATAATCAGCAGCACCAGAATAATTACCACATTCAAACTGAAATTTGGCATACTGATACAATGCCTCTATCTGCTCTGGACCAATCTGAGAAAAACAATTGTACACATTAATGGTGTCAGGAAATATAGGAGCTTTACTGAATAATAATTGGTTTATAAATTTATCACGAGACACGTGAGAATTTAATGCTTTCACATATGACAATGATCATGAGAACAGAAAATTTATATTCATTGTTTAACTGGTTCAAATGTGGGCATCTAAAAATGAAAAATAAAATTCTTCAACATACTCCCTTGCAGAGGTTCAATCTGACAGCATTGATAACTTGATATCATAGACAGGTAGTCTCAAACCTCAAAAAAGACCTAATCTATAAATTAACTGATGGTACTTCAAATCAAATTTTCCATATTAAATCCTATGTACCTGATATCGATCATTGAGTAATTGAAGATTGTGCTGTTTGTCAGCTCTTAACTCTTGAACTGCATTTGCATTCTGCAAAAATTTAACCAATGGGGCAGCGGCCTCCTCTAGTGCCTTCAACCTTGCAACAACCTCAGCTCTTCGATCCACCATTTCTGTATAGAAACACCCATCTATCAGAATAGAATAAAGCTATGTTTGCTAACTAACATGCATTTTATTATTCTCAGGACAAGTACAGACAGATGTCAGCAACATAATCTTTGTATAAAAAATCCCTAAAAGTCAAAACCATACAGTCCTAAATCAAAACACATGTGTAATTATTAGAAGCTTGAAGAATTTTGCCAACTGCCAAATATAATAAACATAGGAAAGGGGCTAATCTGCCTTAATTCATGATATTGATTTCAGATTTATTCATCAAAACACTATTTAAGCAAAATAATAAATCAGATGTATAATATTGGGACCAAGACACCAAAAAACACATCTGATTGTTCATTATCAATGAATCTAAAATACAACCGAAAAAGAACATCAGAACCCTAATGTGTTACTACGTAGCCCGTTGCAAGTAAAGCAGCGAAAAAATAGCGACATATCAAGCAGACCAGAACTTTTAAGCAAACATTAGGAAAAAACAACAAAATCTGATTTCGTGAATTCAACAAATTTAAAAGTAAATTGCACAGACGGTCAAAAAAAACTACCAAATTAGCTAGAGAAAAGGTAGAACATCTAACTGACTATCAAGCATAGCGAACATATACATATTAAATATTTAGGCAGAAGGGAATAAGGGATACCTTGTGGGACATCTTCAGTGTGATAGAGGGACTTGTGTATGTCCATAGCATAATCAACCATGTTGGTATCGTTGAGCAGCTCAATCTTGGCCTTGAGAATATCCTCATCGGCGTAGAGTTGCTGCTCTTGCAGGAACTCCAGCAAGGGGAACACCAGGTGCCGATCAAGTTGCGGTGCTATGCGCGGTGTCAGATCGTACTTAGCGGCCATACTTGAGCTCTGGAGATTGGCAGTTCAGCTTCAGCGTTCCAAGGATAAAGAACTAAAAAAGGTTTAGTTTTGTTTCAGAAGTCGGCTGTATAATCTTATAACCGTCTAATTATATTCTAAATAAATTATTTGGAAAAAATTTCGCGCTTTCTCCTATAGCTCTACCATCCTGCATGAGGGCAATTTTTGGGTTTTAATTGCCGCTTCCCCTTCTTCCATTCAAATTGGGTCAAGTATCATGATATTTATATTCTTATTCATATATTATTTTATATTAGTATTTTTTATGTGTGATGTGCAAAAAATATGTGCTTAATATTAGTACTTTATATTAAAATTTTAAATTTATTTAGATTTTAGATATTTAAATTATTATAAATAATAATAATAATAATAATGTAAAACATTTTTATAAATTTGATATTTATATTTTAGAAAATAAATAACATATAATTCCAATATATAATATGTATATATTATTATTATTATTATTATTATTATTATTATTATTATTATTAAAGAAGGTAAGAAAATATATGGTGGATGCATGTGCAGAGTAACAATGATAAAAAGATAACGGAAATTATGACGGTAGGGGTATGTTTGTCCAAAATATCATAAAGTACAACATTTATAATATAATGTATATAAAAATTTAACGGAAAAAAAGGGACATAAATGAAGGGTATAACTTTCATTTACATTTATCATGTTTTTAGATTAGATTAGATTAGAAATCTTTAAAATTAATTATTTTTATCGTCAATATATTAAATTAGTATGTCTAAAATTTTGACATTTGATGTCAACATGTTTTTAATTATTTATTTTGTATATTAATGTAATATATTAGTGATAAAAAATAATTAATTTTAAATATTTATAAAATAATGTATGAGTTGGAATATAACTATATTTTTCTTCAGGACTCCAAATCAGCTTGTCCTCGTGATCACCCTGGGAGATCGGGATGCTAAGAATCAGGTCTTTGTCTGTATCCTCAAATAAATCATCAATAAGCTCAACATCCCACTATCTACGGTTGGTTTCAAATAGTGACTGAACTCTGGTTCCAATTAGGTGTTCATATGCAGGAGTCCTCACAAAAGGGATGAATTGTCGTGTAGTCAAGGATCCTCCCACACTTTGATAGCTTTTCCATTTCCGACTTGCCATGAACAGTTGGATCGAATAAGTTCTTGTGTTTGTAAGATACTCCTCCAAACAAAGGATGGGCTACCACTAAGATTAGCTTCACAAAAGGAGGAATTAGGATAATATTTGGCCCAAATAAGCCGCTAGGCTTGTTTTCCTAACAAAGTCAAGTTAAAGTCTCTGATTCTTCGAAAGCTCATTCCGCCTACAGCCTTAGGTTTGCATAGGCCATCCAATCTTTTCCATCTAATACCTTTGCCATCGACCAAATGTTCCATCCACCAAAATCTATTAAGAGCCAGTTCAATCTTATTGCAAATGTCAACCGGGAGTAAGAAGATACTCATTGCATAGGTGGGAATGGACTGCAGGACATTTTTAATTAAAACTTCGTGTCCTGCTCGAGAAAGGAATTGGTTGTTCCAGCTATTGATTTTTCCTAAAACTTTCTCTTTGATGAAGCCTAAAATTTCAATTTTTCTCCCCCCTCCACCAGCGAAGGAAGACCCAAATATTTGCTTTGTATAGAACCTTCAAAAATGCCCATAGTATTAGAAACCACTTCTCTAGAAGCATTATCCACATTACTGCTGAAGATAAGGGATGATTTTCCCAGATTTAGAGACTATCCAGAAGCTGCAGTAAACTCAGACAAAATATTTTTCATAATGTTTGCCTCCAAGAAATTAGCCCTACAAAATAGGAAGCAATCGTCTGCAAAGAACAAGTGAGAAATAATGGGGGGCCCCTAGCAATTGATATACCATGGAGGGAATTCCGCTGAACTTCTTTCCTAATGAGACCACTTAAGCATTCCATTGTAAGAATAAAAAGGTAGGGGGGAGATAGGATCTCCCTGCCTAAGACCCCTATGAGGCATAATAGTGCCAATCTCCCTATCCTCCTGGAGAATAGAATAATGGGGTGATCTGATGCACCTGGAAATCATATTGACCAGGGTTGCAAAACTCGACCGCCCAGGAGCTAGGCGGCACCAAGCCTTGCCGTTTTGGCCTAAAGACGGCCAAAACTCGGTCGACCGCTTAGGCGGCCAACTCGGCCGAGTCGGCCAACTCGACCGAGTCGACCGATTTTGACCGATTTGATTCGATTTTGACCGATTTTGTCTTTCATTAATTATTGATTTTAATATTATTATGACGTTATGACTTATAAATTATCATTATTTCATTTATTTGGATGTGTTATTTGATTGAATGTTGAAAACAATCTCATTAAAATTGTCAAACTACAAGTCTGTTACTATTTTTTTTAATTTTTTTAGTGCCCGCCTAACGCCGCCTAGATTCCGCCTAGGTGCTAGGCGCTGCCTGTCCGCTCAACTAGCGCCTAGGGCCTACTGCAACCATGATATTGACAAGCTCACTGTTAAACCCCAATTTAGCAAGCACACCTTCAACCAAATCCCAATTAACTCGGTTATAAACCTTGCTCATGTCCAACTCCATACCAACCCAGCTAATATTCCCCTGAATTTTCCTCCTCAAATAGTGTTGCACCTCATAAGCTAGAAAAAGATTATCCGTGATAAGTCTACCGGGAACGAAAGCACACTGGGAATCAGATATAAGGTTGATAAGCAGGGGTTTCATTCTATTAGCCAAGGCTTTGGATAAGAACATTGCAGAGAGCAATCGGTCTCAAGTCAGCCATGGTTTTAGGGGTTTGGCTACTTTAGGGATAAGAACAATGTGTGCTTTGTTAACACCCAGGGGAAGGACTTTGGATTGTCTAAAATTCTCATAGAACTCCACCACATCACTTCCCACAATATCCCAGTAATGCTGGAAAAATTCCGAAAGAAGGTCGTCAGGCCCCGGCGATTTTTCCGGCTTCATCTCGAACAAGGCTTTCTTAATTTCCTCAGAGGTAAATTTTTTACTCAAGCAGGCATTCTGGAATGGGTCACTTTCGGATCTGCTCACTTTGGTACAAATTAGTGAAATAATTTGTCATGAGAGAATTGAGAGCATTACCTCTTTCTGCCCAATCGCCATTGTCCATCTTTAGTTTGTCAATACGGTTTTGTTGTCTTCTTCTTTGCACAGAATTGTTGAAGAAAGTAGAATTCTGATCACCACCTCTGAGCCAAAATTCTTTAGCTCGCTGTCTCCAATAAGTGTTTTTGGTGTTGGATGGCTTTAAGATGGTAGAACTGGGCCTCTTTGAACAAAGCACAGCCACGGTGGTCCATCCTCCCCTTCAGATTCTCCATTCTCTTGCTCCAAAAACCGATTCGTTTCCTGAAATTCTTGGCGAAGGATTCCCCCCAAGAAAAAATGATGTGTTGGAGGAGAGAGGAGAGAGAGGGATGGGTTGTTCTGTTATTCAGGGGATTTTGTTAGGGTTTTAGGGGTCCGACCGTCCGTTCTGTCTCCGGCGCTGAACGAGTTGGAAGTTGTGAGAGGAGTCAACGGTTTCCTTGAGTGATACAACTTCTTCTTGCAGCTCTCAGCTCAGGGCCATAGAGATTAACAAACACCTCACTATCAATGGAATAAATGCAAATCCAGCAACTTGTTCTTAGCCGCGTTCCAAGAACCATCAAACAACAGTAAATACACACTCGAACAAATGCAATTCCAGCAACATCTACCATCGCCACTTCAACAGGAGTAAATACTCCACCAACAAAAGTACACAGGTGTAAAAGCACCCACAATAAACTGCTAAACAACCAAAATAACTTGTCAAAGAGACAAGATGAAGAAGCTTGTCAAGGAGACAAGAGTAAGAAACTCAGTATAAAATCATTTTGATATTGTTACTTATAATAAACGTAAGTATAATTGCATTTCTAATAAAGTGGCCTGGGTATTACACTTCCCTCGCAAAATCGTTTAAGGCCAGGTCTCCTCAGAAAAACGCAGGAATAGATCGAGATGGTGAATGCTGAGTCCAAGCAAGAGTTTGCTGAGGATGAATCATGTGAGGGATTGCGAAACAGGTGGCGTGGGTGCTAGCTTCTTTACATTTCACTATAGTCTTCAATAATTCTTCTGCAACTTTTACTTACTGTTATATATATATGGTGAAAGACTTGGAATGAGAAGATTTTCATATGAATTGATAAAAATGAGATGAGAACCATTATATTCACTCCAAAGCTCACACCTTTATATATATTACGCCTTTACTTTGGGCTATATATGACTATATATCTGACATTTTTCAGGGGAAACCAAGCTTTTAAGGCTGGCGATGCATCCGAAGCTGAGAACTTGTATACTGAAGCCATAGATCACGGCAATAAGACATTGTCAGATTGCTTTAGCAAGCGTGCCACCGTACGCGAGTCGCTTGGTAGGAAGAGGGATGCCATCAATGATTTAAAGTGCTCGATTGCTTTGGACCTTAGCTTGATCAGCGAAAAGTATAGAGTTGCAGAGTAGGGTTCTTCTTCATCTTACTTTCACCACCAATTTCATATGTATGTTACTTATGATTGTTGAAAATGTATTGCATTTATTTATATAATATGCAAAAACAAGTAGTACTTGTTTATTTATTTATTTCTTATTATTACTATCCCTAGGTGTTACCTTCTGCTGGGAGAAGTGGAAACAGCAATGCAGTATTACCAACGCTGCATCAAATCAGGGGAGGGCGTGTGCTTGGATAGGGGAATTGTAATTAAAGCTTCAAATGGTCTACAAAAGGCAGAGGTAACTTACTGTTACTTACATTTTGTGTTTCATTTATATATATTGTAGATGCAGGAACCCCTTTTGTTGTTTGCATTATCATTATATAATCGTTATTTCTGGCAGAAAGTGGCTGAGAGTTCGCATAGGTCTGCTGAACTCTTAAAACAGCAAACTTGTGATGCTGCAAGAAGTGCTCTAGAAATTATTGACGACGCATTGTCGATAAGCAGATATTCAGAAAAGTTACTTGAAATGAAAGGAGAATGTTTATGCAAGGTCTGTGATGATTACAGATTATATAAGTAGGAGCTTCAATTCCTGTGTATTATTTTGTCCTTTCTGCTTTCTTTAGTCAGACAATATCTATAATTTTATTATCATGTTTTACAGTTGCAGAAGTATGATGAGGCAATTAAGCTGTGTGAGCAGACTCTTGATTTTGCTGAAAAGAACTTTGCTAATGATTCCGTAAGGCTGTGGAGATGTCACATTATGTCAAAATCCTACTACCATCTTGGGAAGCTTGAGGAAGCTCTTGATCTGATCGAGAAGCAAAAGCAAGTAATTTCTGTCAATGATGGGTAAATCTCTCTTCCTATTCTGTTTTAGAAATTGTTGTCCTTTTAGCAAAAATAAATTGTTTTGGTTGATGTATTAATGATGCTCTCACCTTTCTTTGTTTAGATCTGGAAGCAAATCTCAGGAGTCATTGATTCCTTTAGAGACTACTATACGTGAACTTTTAGCCCACAGGGTATGCTAGCTTCCGTTTTGAGTTCTTACTGTGGTGTAATGTGTACCGCTATTGAGCCAATATTTTACTGCAATGTTTATAATGTTCTCAAACAGCAAGCAGGAAATAAAGCTTTCCAATCTGGAAAATTTGCAGAAGGATTGGATCATTATAATGCTGCTATATCAAAAAGTGTTGAATCACAGCCTTTTGCAGCCATCTGCTTCTGCAACCGTGCTGCAGCCCATCAAGGTTTGGGACAGATTATTGATGCCATTGCTGATTGCAATGTATCCATGGCTCTAGACGAAAATTACGCAAAGGTTAATTTTCCTTTAAACTCGAACTCCATTTCATGTCAAATAATTGCCCTCTCTTGTTCATTGTAGCCATCTCTCTTTTGTGTGTGCTTCAGCATTTCCATTGACCTTTCGTTCTTGCGTACTCTATCAGTTCCTGACATTTTCATCATAATTATGTTAATGCTGGATTAGCTTTTGTATATACAAACAAATTTACTAGGGAACTTGACATCCATCCTCACCATGGAAGTCAACTTGCACCACATACCTCCAGGAATACCAAACCAAAATATAAGAAAGAAACATCTGGTATCAATCATGGAAAGAAAATAGTTGATGATAGGAGTTGAGATTCCTTTCCATCTCACTATTGTTGTTTCATGTGAGGTACCAAAGCACATTTCGTGCTCTCATTTATTCTGGTCATAGAATCTATCAAAATATAATCCGAGTCTCTTGCAGGCAACTTCAAGGAGGGCTACTTTGTATGAGATGATTAGAGACTATGTGGATGCAGCTACTGATCTTCAGAGGCTTATATCCCTACTAGAAAATGAAGCACAAGGCAGTAGTTCGAAAGAATTAAGAAAAGCTCGCGAACGCCTCTCCTCAGTTGAGGAGAAGGCAAAAAGTGAAATTCCTTTGGATCTTTATCTCATACTGTGAGTTCATATCTCCTCATTGACTTTCAACCAAAACTTTCATCTTAACCTCCCTAAAGAGAAAAAGAAAGGGGGAAAAGCACTTGAAGTTGTGATCTGTCTGGCTTCTTTTCATTGACATATTAATACTCACCACTTCTATCTGGCAGGGGAACTAAATCATCCGATGATGGATCTGTCATCAAGAAAGCATACAAGAAAGCAGCCTTAATAAATCATTCTGACAAGGTCTCGAGATTTTAAATAAGTTGTATATAGTTTAATAGTAAGTCAAAATATGTGTTATATTCACGTTTGGTAGTCTATGCTGATGTAGGTCGCTCAGCTTTTGAAAAGAAGTGTGAGATTGAATGATCGGCAATTGTGGAAGGATATCTGCGAGAAAGTTAAGAAGGACGCTGACAATCTTTTCAAAATGATAGGAAAAGCATATGATGTTCTCTCCGACACTGCCAAGGTATGCTTGTGCCGTGTAATCAGTTGCATTATATTGTTCCTTCTATCTGCTTTGCTTTAGAATGGTATGGTACTTCGTGGGGGTGGCCGAGCAATGCCAAAGCTCATCATCTTTAGTTTTAACTTCTGCTTGCCTGAATACCATCCAATGCGTGAAGTTGATGTTATGTTTCCATGTGCGTGCAGCGCAAAGAGTACAATCTTGAAGAAGAAACCAGGGGGGAGTGATATAGCCTTACTTTTAGAGATATGTCTTTGGCTTTTTGTTTAACATGGAGGGAAGACCAAGAGACAGATTACGGCTCCACTCAGGCTACGAGATTATGTTTAATTTGCTGATGAAGGTTGCAATTAGTTAGACATGCATGCAGATTTATATATTTGACTATTCTATACTGCAAACCATTTTTTCCATTTCTGTTATTATTGTTGCCAATAGTGCAAACAAGTAATGACAATTCAGGGAGTCGTTATATGTGCATGCAGTATAAATTGTTGATTTAATCTCTTCTTTCTAAACTCTCATAACTCATCCTCTCCCTCAGCTTTCTTTTTCTGGAGGTTCAACCACCCTCTAAAACACCATACACCATCCCAACACTTTTTCTTGATAGCATTATTTGGTTGTTTTTGCAAGGGGTGCAGTGTTTGGTTGTACATAACTCTACTTTTGGTCATATATGTTAAGTGATGAAAGACAATAGCTATGGCTGGAACATGAGTTCCAGTTCAGTATAATGCTGCTCTGAGCTCTAATTAGAGATATTAACTAATCCCTTGTTGAATTGTCAGAACCAAGAGTGAAGCTGATCTTGAGATTTAAAATTACCAAGTTCTAATTGACTAAAAGAACATGGAATTTGTTAGGAGTTCAATATGATACGGAACTTAAATAGCAGATTTTTCGCATAATCAAAGAATTAGAAACCCATTTATGAACACTGCACTACAGATTACTGAATGATAAATAGTACCATGATAAAATCCATCAATCTTAAAAAGTTGGAATTCCATAAAACTAACACAATACAAAGCATTAAAATAAGTAACTAAACCAAAACAAAACTCTTCGAAAAGTATTGACTACCAAAAAATCCTTTGGCTTCAATACCAAAACTATCTGGTAGGCTGTGCTTGTGACTGGGCATGCTCAAGAAGCTGACTCACCAACTTGTATGTACGTCCAGAAAGACCTTTTGTATGATCAATTAGCTGCTCATAACTGTATGATTCCCAAAAAAAACCAATAAGAAACAATCATAGAATTGTTAGTAGGTTAATATGAATCGAATCACTATCTCTACTTTTTCCTATCGAACTTACACATTGGGATGAGTAGGTTCCATTATAACAGTTCCTGTTTCGGAATCAATCTTAGCATCAAGCTTGGAAGTCCTGATAAGATTCACAATCCATCTCTCCGCATCCTCATAATTCAAATTTAGTTTCTCAGCAAGAACCCTGTAACAAATAATGTCAAGTATTATGTCCCATGTACTATTATTAGAATGGCAAGGAGTATAAATAAAGAGTTAATAAAAGGGAAGTAATATTTATAAAATAATAGCTCCAGAATATCTATCTAGTTTTGGTTTATAAACACACATTGAGATTTCCAGCATTTAAGAGCTTGTCTAGTGCTTAATGCGATCGATAATGTTTGGTGGAGCAGAGATGATGATTGCAAAGGAGTTTTAAGTGATGTAACAGAAGTATTTGGTACATACCCCATATCAATGCGCTGATGAATGCGGCAGTAGGTCTCAAAGATAAAAAGGCGAGCATTTTCTAGGAATTCATCCCTCAATGGCACAGTTGAAAAATTGCCCTCTTCAACTCTTTTGCCCAAGAATGGATCATTCAAAATTACCTGGCAACATAAATGAAAAGGAAAATATATTAGAAGGATTATTAATAAATATAAATTCAAGATAAAAATCAAACATCCAAATTGAATATTTCACCTCTTCACACTCTTTCATCTTTTGCTGTGCTGCATCGAAGTCATAATTGACATAAACACAGGCCAAAAACTCAGTGATGGGGTCTGCATAAGAGTACTGCTCTGGCTGAATAACCTTTATAAAATCTTTAAACTGAGGTCGTCTTCTTTTGTTGACAATGAATGCAGTTGCCAGATAACGCAGTAGATGAGGAGCATTTGTTTGAATGGCATTTAAGTACCTAGAAGTGATTTTTTCATATTAGATAAATATTTAAAGCCATCTATAGCATTCTAGGTTTATACACAAATTGGAAGCTTGTCAATTATAGAGGCAGAGGAAAACTTGATTATCAAATTTTAGGTCTGGATTCAAATAGTCTAAAAGAATTTCAACTTTAGGTAAAACTAAGCAACACATTTAGCAATATATACCAAATTCCTAAAGGCATGCTGATTAAGTATAACACAAATCTAAGTATCTAACAGGGTCAGAAAGTAAAAGATGTTTGTGTGTAAAGCAGATAAGAGGCAAGAATAAATAAGTCCAGCGACTTGGAAAAGGGAACAGATAAACCAAGTGAGCATACTTGTCCTGGTTAAACAGGTCAATGATCTGGGTCCTTCCATTGTCATGGTTGAAGAAGATAAACAGACTCCAATGCATTAACCAAATTCTGCTTTGAACTTGATGTAGCGGTGTTGAGAAACTCTGCGAGACCACAATTTGTAAATTCACCTTCTCAACAGAAGACTAACCAAGTCATAAAGAAAACATCTATGAAACATTTAAAAATCAAGATAAGATATTACCTTTGAGTCAATAATTTCCTTCAAGCGATTTAGTTCCTCAAGGGCAATATCCCAATTCTGCATTAATATCTCAGCAGCTAACTTTCCCCACAATGCACTCAGGCTTCTGTCACTGTTTGTGCAAAGAGCCCGGTATTGATACAGATAATCAGCAGCACCAGAATAATTACCACATTCAAACTGAAATTTGGCATACTGATACAATGCCTCTATCTGCTCTGGACCAATCTGACAGAAACAATTTTACACATTAATGGTGGCTGGAAATATAGGAGCTTTACTGAATAATTGGTTTATAAATTTATCATGAGACACATGTGAATTTAATGCTTTCACATATGACAATGATCATGAGAACAGAAAATTTATATTCATTGTTTAACTGGTTCAAATGAGGGCATCTAAATTATATGCTTCCACCTTTTTTTTTCAATCATAAAAAAAAAAAAATGAAAAATAAAATTCCTCAACAAGTTTACATACTCCCTTGCAGAGATTCAATCTGAAAGCATTGATAAATTGATATCATAGACAGATAGTCTCAAACATCAAAAAAACCTAAACTATAAATTAACTGCTGAATCAAATTTTCCATATTCAATCCTATGTACCTGATACCGATCATTGAGTAATTGAAGATTGTGCTGTTTGTCAGCTCTTAACTCTTGAACTGCATTTGCATTCTGCAAAAATTGAACCAATGGGGCAGCGGCCTCCTCTAGTGCCTTCAACCTTGCAACAACCTCAACTCTTCGATCCACCATTTCTGTATAGAAACACACATCTATCAGAATAGAATATAAAGCTATGTTTGCTCACTAACATGCATTTTATTATTCTCAGGACAAGTACAGACAGATGTCAGCAACGTAAGCTTTGTATAAAAAATCACTAAAAAATCAAAACCATACAGTCCTAAATCAAACACATATGTAATTATTAGAAGCTTGAAGCATTTTGCCAACTGCCAAATATAATAAACATATGAAAAGGGCTAATCTGCCATAATTCATGACATTGATTTCAGATTTATTCATCAAAACACACTCTTTAAGCAAAATAATAAATCAGATGTATAATATTGGGACCAAGACACCAAGAAACACATCTGATTGTTCATTATCAATGAATCTAAAATACGGAGTAACAATTTATTGAAACCGAAAAAAGAACATCAGAACCCTAATGTGTTACTATGTAGCCCGTTGCAAGCAAAGCAGGGAAAAAATAGCGACGTATAAAGAAGACCAGAACTTTTAAGCAAACATTAGAAAACAACAAAATCTGATTTCGTGAATTCAACAAATTCAAAAGTAAATTGCACAGACGGTCAAAAACACTACCAAATTAGCTGCAGGAAAGGTAGAACATCTAACTGACTATCAAGCATAGCAAACATATAAATATTAAATATTTAGGCAGAAGGGAATGAGGGGTACCTTGTGGGACATCTTCAGTGTGATAGAGGGATTTGTGTATGTCCATAGCATAATCAACCATGTTGGTATCGTTGAGGAGCTCAATCTTAGCCTTGAGAATATCCTCATCGGCGTAGAGTTGACGCTCTTGCAGGAATTCCAGCAAGGGGAACACCAGGTGCCGATCGAGTTGCGGAGCTATGCGCGGCGTCAGATCATACTTCGCCGCCATACTTGCGCTCTGGAGATTGGCAGTTCAGCTTTAGCGTTCAAGGATAAAGAAGATAAAAGGATGCGACTAGGGTTTCGTTTCCTTTCAGGAGTAGGCCGTGTAATCTTATGACCGCCTAATTACATCTAAATAGATTATTTGGAAACATTTCGCGCGTGCCCCTATAGCTCAGTGGTAGAGCGTCAGTCTTGTAAACTGAAGGTCTGTAGTTCGATCCTGCATGGGGGCAATTTTTCCGGTTTTAATTGCACTTTTCCTCTTCTCCCAGTAAAATTGGGTCAAAAAATTTACTTGAGTTTGAATTTGACTCAACTTAAACTTTAGTTATGCGAACTTGACTCAATTCAAATAAACTCAATAAATATTGTTTACACAAAAAAATCTCCCAGTAAAATTGGATCAAAAATTTTATTTGAGTTTGAGTTTGAGTTTGACTCAACTTAAACTTTAATTATTTAAACTTGACTCAATTCAAATAAACTCAATAAATATTGTTTACACAAAAAAAATAAATCGTATTAATAATTATTTTACAACCAAATATCATAACAAACAAAATATTACATCTTTGATTATGACCATTTATAATGTACACATTTAAATATTTAAAAATAATAATAATAGATAAATTTGTAATATTGTATATAAAATATATGTAAAATATAAAAACTTGATTAGTCTCTTGAATTGTTAAAAGCCGATTTAGTCCTTCGATTATGAGAATTTCACTAATTTGATCTTTGACTACTAAAATTGTTCAATTTGATCCCCGACTATGCCTTTTTAGTTTTTAACCCGAATTGGACATCAATGTAATTTGTCGATCAACCCAAAAGGGTAAATTGAGGATTTGAAAAAAAAAAACATCTTCTTCTTCAGTCTATTTTGGCAGTACTACACACAACATAAATTAGAGAAAGCAGTCCAAAACCATGATCAAGAAGATCCGAATAGGTGCTTTAATCAATAGGCAAAATTTATGCAAGAAAACACATATTTCTTAGAAAACTACTAGTGTTTCTGTATATCTAGCTTATTGCTAACAATAAACGTTGCAACTCACATAAAAATGAAACAAATTAATTATTAAAATATAGTGGGTCACAAAACATGGTCAAATGCCGGAGCATTGACAAGTTTCGAACCTTAGTCACTTCCCTTAAATATTGTCTACTAAACCACCGAATAATGTATGTAAATTTAATTAATGATATAAAATAAAATTAAACACCACCATACTAATATAGGTGCCTATGAAGATGGTTATAATTTTTAAGAAATAAAACAAGGAATATTTAGTGGCTTGTTTTATTTAGGTTAAAATAATAAATAAAACACTAACAGCGTGTTTGGTTCCTATTACCTCAAAATTCATTCCGTGAACAAAACATGCTGTAAAAGAGCACAAGAAAGTAACAAAGTTATACTCTCTTTTTTGGTTGGTTGGTTTGTAAAAATGGACACAATTTGGAGCAGTACTAGAGATTACCAGTATATGCTACTTATGATGATTAACAAGATGCCCAGCCGAAGCACATTGCCAAATACTTCCAATAATCCACAGTTCTCAGAAACCATTAAACCTTGTAAATACTCAACCTTCATAACGTACAATTCACACAACCACAAATGGCTTTATTACGAGAACTACTCTCGCGACATTTCTGTCTTACTTTCTCCCAGTAGGACACAGATTCTATATGAACACCACTCCTGAAGCATCTCTGAGATTAAGTAAATGCTTTGCCCAGTTACAGCTGAAGGGCTTGGGAGTGATGGCGGATGTGATCATCGACGAAGGTGGAAATGAAAAAGTAGGAGTGATCATATCCAGGCTGCAATCGCAGGAGGAGAGGAACGCTGGCTTTTCTACATGCCTCTTCGAATTTATGTGGCAAAAGTTGATCCTTCAAGAATTTGTCATCTTCTCCCTACAACATTTGCGTAGGTTATAAGAAGCCAGCAGAAAGAGCACGTGTTGGTATATGCAATGATATGAAACCTCAATTACAAGCATGTGTATCTAGACAGAACAAGAGCTACACCTCGAAAACAATATATACGTGAAGAGGTACCCATTCTAGTTTCACCTCAAAGTAAGGATTAGCCCATAATAGCAATCATGAACTACACATATTGAGCATTTTACCTGATCAATTAAAATGGTGGCGGAGAGATTGGCACCGCTTGATATAAGGCAGGTAGCATCGTATTGCTGCACACGTAAAATACTAATATCATCTCACATATCAGTTCAATACTCCTACAAGCATGTTAAAGATAACTAGTTAATGTGGTCTCGCAAGATCATACCTCCCAATCAGCTTTATTTTCACCCAAGTAGTTTGTGAAAGCCTTCTGGCCCCAAGGACAGTTCACAGGATTCACAATTGGAGCAAATGCTGACACTGACTGGAAAATAAACAAAAGTAATGTATCAATAAAAGGAATCCAAATGTGTCTAAATCTCTTTCTTAGAACAGATAATGTTGGTTTAACCATTTGGGGCATCTTAACCATGAAAAACTATACACAATTTCATGGGCACTGGAGTCATTCCCTTCCTCATGAAATTACGATCACACACACCATGTAAATGCAGTGAAGATGTTTCAAAACTATGATTAACTCATAGGCACGTAGCTATAACAGGTTTTGTTGGAAAGGAAATGAGTAACCATATCTTTTGTTCAAGAACATGAAATTAACTTACCTTGTACTTGTCCAAGTTTTTGAGGTAGATTGTTAGTGCTCCATGTCCACCCATTGAGTGACCAAAGATGGATGCCCTTGATGTATCAAGCTGTGGAAAGTGTTCAGAAAGAAGTCCTGGCAACTCCTTAACAACATAGTCATACATACGCCAGTTCTTCCACTTCTCTTGGGTTGCATTCAGATAAAATCCAGCACCTACTCCATTAAATCCATTAATACTTGATCACAGGGGTCAATGAAGCTTGCATTCAAATTCACATTTGAATGTATGATCTTGAGATAGACATGTCTAAACACACGTTGGTACTATTAGTGTAGATTGCAAACAGTGAGTGAGTGAGGTGCCTACTTCAATTTATTTACTTTTTGGCAAGACCTAATAGGTCAAACACAAAGCACTTCTCATTTACGTACTGCTTAATTGACATTAAAGAACACAAATTTTGCTTACCAACACCAAAATCCCAGCTATCAGACTCTCCTTCAACATTCAGCCCTCCTGTAGCAAAAACAGGAAATATGTAGTAAGGACTACAGCTTTTAGATCCAAAAAGAGCTCAAGAAAATCCCTTCTAGTTGATCATAATGAAATTGAATATGCCTATACTGCTATACATGAATCATATATCTCTGTTGTAAAGCATAATAATAATAATAATGGATTCTGAAATGACATCACCTCCTCTCAAGGCTTACCAAAACACAAGTTGCAGTTTAAAAATCCAATTTATTGAGAAGCATTTTAAAATATTAATGGTCAAAGTAAACCACTTAAATAAGTATGAAAAATTTTCTCTAACGAGTCAGAAAACAGAAATTAAACAATGCCACATTCAGAAATCGACTCACTTGGAGATGTATCTGGTGCAATCAGTGCAACGCCCTCACTTGAAGCAACACGTTGGGCACCAGATTTAGCGATAAAGTTCTCATCTGTGCATGTTAGGCCGGAGAGCCAGTAGAGTACCTAAAAGCATTGTTCAAGGTACCATTATGCATGTTCAAGTATTGGGTAACTCAAGAAACAAAATCGCTTTCCCCCAATCCAAAATTCAGATTGAATTGTTGGTTCATTATGGACAATAACTCAACAAGCAAATTAAGCTTCCAGCATAGCTTTACAAACAGATCACTGACACATGATAAATGATGAAAAATAACGAAAATTTAGTGAGATGATCCCACTAATGGGAATCTTTGAAATGCTAAATTATATTTGAATTCAATAAACCAAGCAATAATAGTATAATACACAATCCAGTGCAAGTAGAATGGCTTAACCGAATAAAGTAAAATTCAACTCTTTCATCGGGCACTTACAGAAAATAAGATGTTGAAAATGAAATAAAAATTGAAACTTGATGAATCCCGTCAATTAGTGAGGAATTGAAATAACAGAAAAAGGAAGACGATTTACAGGGAATTTGTTGGAAGGTGAAGGAGAAGGAGGGAAGTAGATGTGGAATGTCATGGAGCATCCAAGAGTTGGGCTGTAGTGCTTGTATCTCTTGTTGAACCCTCCAAACATCTTCGAGCTGCTGATTTCTGAAGGCTTCGTCTCCATCTCCACCGTATCGCCGACACACTTCACAGTACAGAGTGAAAGGTTTGGGGTGAGACCGCAGAATGATGCTAGGGATATTATGAATATTTGATGCAATCCAAATAATACATATGCACTGTGGTGACACACTGACACGTGATTAATCTTTAATTAAATATATCTATTATCTGTTATTAAATTTAATATAGAGAACCTTTTTTTTTTTAAGAAAAAAATTAATAGGGTGCTCTCCTGAGAACAAAAAATTAAAAGAAAATGGTAAAATAAATATGTTAACTTTCTATAAAAAGATCAATTAGGCTTTCAAATTTTATTTTCTTGAAACTCAAAAATCTTTTATTTAGTGATTTGGGCCTTTAGGGAGACTTTGGTGATCCTCTGACCACTAAATCAAGTGACCACCGACCGATTGACCGTTTGCCCAGTTTAGTAGTCGGAGTATTACTTGAGTCTCTTTAAAACTCTAGTGATGAATAAAATAATATGTTAATGAGTTTAATTGCAAACTTTAAAGGGGTGTTTGAGTCAAATTATATTAGATTATCTAAGTAATTTGAATCTGCTAATATTATATTACCTTGTTTGGTTCAAGTTATGAGATTACATGATAATGTTATATTACATCAAAGCTGATGTGGCGGTAATGTGATTACAATTGTTTTTTTAGGTAATCTTAGATTACTTTGAATTATTCCAACTTTGAAAAGTATAAAATAATGTTGCGAAAATAATTTCAATATAAGAAAGATACTCAAGTAGAAAATAATACTGCAAAGGTGGTTTCAATATAAGGAAAATAAAATGTAAAATTGTCACTTTACCTCTCTAATAATATGATTTTTTGAATTTTATATGAATAAACGTCAAATATGCTATCGAATTATACACCAAATTGCAAGTAGGTCATCCAACTCAAAATAATTACAATTGAATCTCTGAACCACGCAAATTCAAACAGTTGAATCTAAAGTGACCTATTGACCTAGTAATTAGATGACGTGACGATTACCAAATTAATTTTTTTCTTAAAAAAATTATTTTAATGAATTTTAAATAAAAAGCTTTGAAAAAAAAAAAAAAACAAAAAAAAAGAAGGAAAACTCCATCGGCCACTCCCCTTCCCCCACCTTCATCTCTGTCGCAAATGAAGAATTCGTATCTCTTCATCTCCCCTGGAGACGAGGGGCGGGAGGGGGGGGGAAGAGGGGTGGCTAGATGTTTTTTTTTTTTTAATTATTAAAATTATTTTTAAAACGCCACATCATCTAATTATCTAGTCAATATGTTACTTTAGATTCAATTATTTGAATTTGTACTGTTCAATAATCTAATTATATTTTTTTTTTGAATTGAATAACCTAATTGTAATCTTTATTCCAAATTTCTGTTAAGTTGAGGCAAAATTTATTGTCTGAGATCAAACTTGTCACTTTGTTTATAGTCCAAGGGTTAAAAATAAATATAGTCACTGACAGGGTGTTTGGTTGGAATGAATGAATTAAAGATGAAAGGAATTGTAATTCGGTGGAAAAAGAATAAGGTAGTAGAAATTACAATTACATTGTTTGGTAGGGAGGAATAATGGAAACGAAAGAAGTGATATAAAACTAAAATACCATTGTATAATAATATTAATAATAACATTCAAGGGCAAATATGTCATTTCATTCATTTTCCCTTTTCATTGTATGAATGAATTCATTGAATTACAATTCAATGAATTGAGGCCCGTATGGTTCACGGAATAGGCCGGGAATGGCATAACATTCCCAGTAATAGGCCTATTATTTTGTTTGGTAACTATTTCTATTACTAGGAATAATATTCCTAGTAATAGCTTATTACCTCAAATAAGGTAATAGCTATTACTAGGGCCCCCTGGTATTAGCCTATTACTGAACGCTCAGGAATATATTTTAGAATCTATTTTCTTTTTTACCCCTTTCTTTAACTTAATTTTTTTTATCCTATATATAAATTTATCATATTTCACCATCGTCGTCGCCACTACCACCATCACCACCGCCGCCGCCACCACCACCATCGCCACCCCCACCACCACTGCCGCCTCCACCACTGCCACCGCCACCACCACCACTACCACCCCAGCAGCACCACCGCCACCACCACCACCACTACCACCCCAGAACCACCACCACCGCTACCACCACCATCACCACCACCGCCACCACCATCGCTACCACCACCACCATCGACATCACATATTTTTATAAGGGTATTTATGTCTTTTAAAACATATTTCATTTCTATTCCTCAAATCAACCAAACACTGTAATATAATTCCTAAGTCTATTCCTTCTGCGAACCAAACAATAGAATACAATTTATATTCTATTCCTTGCCTATTCCATTCCTATGGAATAATATTCCTATTACCTCAAAATTCATTATGTGAACCAAACTTGCTGTGAGGGAATTGCAATCCCTCCCACCAAACAATGTAGTTTATCATTTCATTGAATTGCATTTCATGCCAACCAAGCCCTCCCAAGAATTGATCAGAATTTGGGTATAGAGAAAGATGCAATTTTCCCGAATAAATACTCCGTAATAAATAAACGGCTCCATTCTCGGGTTGTCTTCTTCATCGCAGCAAACGAGGGATTCCAGTACTCCGGGGAGATGATTTATTTTGCATTTTTCCCTTACAGGTGAGTGTTTCTCCCTTCATTTGGTTGGAAATGCATCAAAATGTTGAATTTCAGATGCAAATCTTTACCCCATTTGAGGTATTCTTATGTTAGATTTACGCTCACCTATAATCTGTATGGAACAAATGCTAGTGTCGAATCCACCTCAAACAATGCTAAAAGAGATTCATTCACGGTCTCATACCTCATAAATAGATGTGGGTTTACTCCAAAAAAGGCTCTATCAGCTTCCAAATACATCAACTTCAAAACCCCAAACAGAGCAGAATCTGTGCTGTCATTCTTGAAAAATCATGGATTCTCTGAAACTCAGGCCTTAAAAATTGTTAGAAGGGATCCTACAATATTGACATATAATCCTGAGAAATCCTTTTTACCCAAGCTTGAATTTTTAAAGTCTTTAGGTTTCCCAGGTGAACATTTGACTCACATTCTATGTGTAGCTCCTTCTGCTTTAAGGAGCAGTTTGGAGAGACGACTCTTACCAACTATCGGTTTCCTTGAGAACTTGCTCTTATCACGAGAGAGTATGAGAGTGGCCGTGAGGCGGTACCCTAATATTCTCTCTATGGACCTCAAAGCTCATTTGGAACCTAATGTTCAGCTTTTGAAGGAGATGGGAGTTCCTGAACACAAAATTGTATATTTTTTAACAAACCAGCCTTTGACATTCATGATGTATAGAGATAAGTTTAGAAAGATTTTGGAGGAACTTAAGGAGTTGGGAATTGACCCAACCAGGAAAAATTTTCTTGTGGCATTCCATGCACTTGCTTGCATGAGTAAATTGACATGGGAAAAGAAGATGGAGGGCTATAGGAAGTGGGGGCTTGCTGAGAACGAGATTTTTGAAGCTTTTAGTAGGAATCCTTGGTTTATGATTGCTTCGCAAGAAAAGGTACTGTCAGCAATGGATTTTTTCGTGAATAAAATGGGATTTGAATCTTCTGCAATCTTGAAAAAGCCTATGGTTGTTTTGTATTCTTTGGAAAAGAGAATTATTCCTAGAGGTTTGGTTTATCAAACTCTGTTAGCAAAGGGCTTAATCCGTAAGGATCTCAATCTGCTCGCTAAGATGTTGAAGGTTTCTGAAGCACAATTCGTAGAGAAGTTTGTTGAACATTACAAGAAGGAAGCTCCTGAACTGATAGAGATGTATCGGAAGTTACTCATCCCCACAATCACACACATAGAGGCGAGAGCTTGATGCTTGATTATAATGTGTGTGCCATGTACTTTACTGATTTTGTAAAATTAATGCTAGTAGTTTTTTAGGGGATTCTGGAGTGTGTCCAAATTTAAGTTTAGGGAATGGTTTTGTTTTGCCTAGGATTATATATTTATATCATTCAATACATGAGATCTGCAACAGCACAGATACACAATGGTAGTTTTTGCTGCCATTTAGCCTTTCTTAAATTGGAAAATTATAATTATTGATTTATTGCACTTCTACTGCTACTGGTATTTTTTTCCAGTGAAATGGATATAAAATGTTCTTAGCACTTTAACATTTGATGAAGCAGGGTGTGATTTTGAAGTCCTTGACAGTTGACACCAAGCTCCTCCTTGTGGTTGGCAAGCTTGCTTGCTGGCTGGCCACAACTGGAAGCTATGGCCGCTGCCTGGTCTAGTGTGTAGTGGTGTAGGAGATGAAAGTCTGCAATAGCCAACTCACACCAGTATTGATTTGCACATGATATTTTGAAATTATACTGAATATAATTCAAAAGTATACATGATTGTTCAGATACGTCTTTACCTTGATGGGACTCAAACTCGCAACTTTGTTCTAAAATCACTTGTTAGAATCAAACGTTTACTATTATGCCAAAATTATAGCTAGTAGTGGAAAGTGGAAACTAAACTTTATTTCTTTATATTGTCACATTTTTGGGAAGTATGGTGTTGGACTTGGCTCTTCAAGCTCTACTCAACAATTCTCTAGTCACTGTTGAAAAACTTAAGCAACACCGAAGAACACTTGGAAATAATAATGCGGGGAACGGAAGATGGAGAACATGATTCAATGTCGTGTTGTAGCAACTAGCAGCACTACATTAAAAGTATTTTTTTTTTACCGGTGATGGTGCGGGCAGTTAGAGATTTTCGGCACGCTTCTGACGGGTAACACAGACGAACTTGACTATTATGCTAGCACAGAAGAAGTAGGGGAAGCAGACAAGAAAGAAGCTCGGTAAAAATGTAGTGTATCTTGGGCAAGGTGAGAACGACTATTTATAGCATCGAGCTCAACATCCTTCTCCATTTAGGCTACAAAATCGCACGAAATTAGTAGGAAGTGGATCTTGAATACGTCCACAATCATGAAAATAATTAGCGGACAAGGAAGAGGAAAATTTTGAGAAAAAGGACAGAAATAATAAAGCGTTGAACAAAATATTGCCACACCACACCTCATACTCGTGCAAGGTGAGCGGCACACACATGGTTCCTCTTTCTTTCCTTTTTATAAGGTTTAAAGAACTTAGAAAGATTGTTTTATAAGAGAGAAAAATAAGTTGTGAAACCAATATGGAACAACAAACAATTAAAAAAGCTATTTTTTTTTTTTTAATGATTTCCAACCATCACCTGGTGTTGAATTGTTCACGAAATTCTGCCCACATAATTTGAGCTTCCAAAACATGATTAAGCCAACCACGATAGATTACATGAATGCTAAGATTATATTTCTCAAGCAAAACACGATAGATTAATTTACAATAAGTACTTAAAAGATAATATGATTAAAACCTTCTTAGCGGGGTCAGACAATTCTCTATGAAAGATTGTAATTGTTTGGTTAGCAAACTAATGTCATGGTCGGAAATTGTTTTCTTACATGAAGTCAGACCAAATTTTGTTTGTAAAAAATACTCCGTAGTAATTTAAAAAGAAAGTCCTAATCAATGAGGAGTACATGCAGGTATGAGTAGGCGTCATTGTCTTTGTAAATGAACACTCATCACACTTCAAATTTCTCTTTCATAATCTTATCCTCTTCCCAACGTGTTCCCCATGGTCATAATCGTAGATCACAAATTGGTCCCAATTTTCATTTTTTAGATTTTTTAAATTCTAAAATACTCTTCTACTTTTAAAAATAAATCTTTCAGCCATTTAGTCGATATATACGAACAGATATTACATTAATAATGTTAATAGTACATTAATATGTATTTACAAGAGTCATGCTTCACTTTCTCTGAAAGCAGATGATTTTATACTTTTATATTTGATCTTTGTTTTGATTATTACTTACGGAAGAGATAAGTGAAGAGGGAAAACATTTTTCATATGATATCAAGAATTGAAGACATAAATCTATAATGTAAAGGAGGAGCAAATGGAAGCATAGCACCTCCCTTCCTGCAAATTAATGGCCGATGAGGAGGTTGGCAGCGCCACAACGACTCATTAATGCAGTTTTGGCATGGCACGTTACCCTCTACTCATCATCAAAGCACAACTGTCTCCAACTATGCATATTCACTCAATCACTTATAGTTATAGCCTTATAGCTCCCCCCCAACACCTATATATAATATACATACCACCCATTATTCAGTATTCACAGACAACTGCGAACAACTTCCTTGAATTTGGGTCTCATCTGTGCATGCATTTCTCATTCTTGTACTCTTTTTGACACTTGGCAGCCACTCTGCGTTTCTGTACAACCTTTGCTTTGGGGGGTTGTTCCTGAGATTTTGACTCAGTTTTTTGTTGTTCCACACACGCAAAGGTTTGTTTGTTTGGTTTCTGGAAAATTTTGCCCTTTTCTCCTTAATTTATTCTGGGATTTTTATCTGTTGGGTGGATGAACAACCTTAGACGGACATTACAAAGCTGCTGATTCAGGTTCTGATCCTTAAATACATCAACATATAATAGCTTATAATAGTACTTCGCTTGTTTTGTTGCTATACCCATCATCTTTTACTGCAATTTGTCGTTTATTTCTTGGATTTTTAGGAGGAGGGAGAGAGGTAATACTGTAATTGGTGGGTTTGAGAAACAAAGTGGGTCGAGAGAGAGAGAGAAGTTGGGAGATTAGTTCAAGTTTAGGTGAAAATTCTACTAGTAAAAAGATTTCTGTTCTGTAGTGATCTTAACTTGCAAGGAAACATATGGTTCTACGGAAATGAAAGAAAGGAATTAAAAAAATACCAATATTTTGAAGGCATTTGGTATAAATTGATTCCTCTGGGAACTGGGAGTTTGTCTAATCAAGATTGGTTTTTTGATTTACTGTTTGAGATTTGAGCATAGTGGGATTCTAGCTCGTTTCGGGGGCGATCTTGTGAGGAAAAATTTAGTCTTTCTGGTTTTTGAGAAAGATTTTCCTGGTAGAGCCCTTGTAGTTTTGAGTTTTGAGACAAGATGGTTGGTAGTATTGAGGTGAAAAATGGGAATACTGTGTATGCTAATGGGGGCATAAATGGCCACAATGGTTCAGAGGAGAAGCTGGATGAACTTCGACGAATTCTTGGCAAGGTTGATGGTGATTTGCTGAGGATTGTTGGCATTGGAGCTGGTGCTTGGGGCACTGTGTTTGCAGCTTTGCTTCAGGATAGCTATGGCCAGTTTCGAGATAAGGTTCAAATCAGGATTTGGAGGAGGCCGGGAAGAGGTGTTGACAGGGCGACAGCAGAACACTTATTCGAGGTGATCAATTCTAGGGAGGACGTGTTGAGGAGGCTGATCAGGCGTTGTGCCTATCTCAAGTATGTCGAGGCAAGGTTGGGCGACCGTACCCTCTATGCTGACGAGATTTTGAAAGACGGCTTCTGCTTAAACATGATCGACACGCCCCTTTGTCCTTTGAAGGTTGTCACCAACTTGCAGGAGGCTGTTTGGGACGCTGACATTGTGGTGAACGGGCTACCTTCAACCGAAACACGAGATGTGTTTCGAGAGATCAGTAAGTATTGGAAAGAGAGATTGACCGTCCCAATCATCATCTCGTTGGCAAAGGGTATCGAGGCTGAACTCGTACCAGCTCCCCATATAATTACCCCCACGCAGATGATTAATCGGGCAAGTAAGCCATTATCTTTTTCTCACTATTCGTTGCCTCTAGTTGATCTATAACTAAAAGTTACTTCCTTAAAGAATCTATATAGGCCACTAGAATGTTGTGAATTGTGATGCATATTCCAGTTTCTTGACTGTCTAATTTGTATCGCAGCTGGAGTGCCTATAGAGAATATCCTATATCTTGGCGGTCCAAATATTGCCTCGGAGATTTACAATAAGGAATATGCTAACGCCCGGATCTGTGGATCTGAAAAATGGAGAAAGCCACTTGCAAAGTTCTTGAGACAACCTCATTTTATTGTCTGGGACAATAGTGACTTGGTGACTCACGAAGTTATGGGAGGTCTGAAAAATGTTTATGCCATTGGAGCTGGTAAGCTAAAATTTTATCTCGATTTGCAATATTCGAGACCTATTATTCACTGAGTTTCTTAGTTACATACACTCTCACTGTTGAGCATATAACCATTAATGTGCAATCCAACTATCAGCTTAAGCTTTTAGTTGAGATGGAGTACATGCTTCAATTTGGCATCACCCGATAAGCGACTATGGTCCACGTGTTGCTTGGAACCCACCGCACACGTGAGGGGACGTGTTGAGCATATAACCCATGGAGTACATGCTTCAATTCTCACACCATAGAATCAGACGATATAACTTATCATAATTTAATTTCATTGTGAATTCTGAAACGCTTCGTTAATTCCCAGGAATGGTAGCTGCATTGACTAATGAGAGCGCTACTAGCAAATCCGTATATTTTGCTCACTGCACATCGGAAATGATATTTATCACCCATCTGTTAACTGAAGAACCCGAAAAGCTTGCAGGGCCTCTGCTAGCTGACACTTACGTGACCTTACTGAAAGGTCGTAATGCATGGTATGGCCAAATGATAGCCAAGGGAGAACTGAGCCTGGATTTGGGTGACAGCATTATTGGCAAAGGGACAATTCAGGTATTCGTTTCGATATGTAGGATAGCGTTGCTGAACAACTTCAATTATTTCGAAAGTTCGTGCCATTTTCCCAGTCTGTTATAGCTCGAAATGCAGAATTATAACTCATCTTAAGATTGTTATGCTTTTTTTTTTTTCTACCCTTACAGGGAGTTTCGGCTGTTGGAGCATTTTATGAACTTCTGAGTCAATCGAGTTTAAGTGTATTGCATCCAGGAGAGCACAAACCAGTTGCTCCAGTTGAGCTCTGCCCGATTTTGAAGACATTATATAAAGTGCTTATAACACGGTAAGTCCTTCAATTCATTCGGCTTTGAATTTCAGCTCCTTAGATGGCTAGATGACCTAAAGTGTTAGTTCTCGGATTCCAGGGAACAAGGGGTGCAGGCTATTCTCCAAGCACTGAGGGATGAAAACTTGAACGATCCCCGTGATCGAATAGAGATTGCACAAAGCCATGCATTTTACAGGCCTTCGCTCCTGGGACAGCCTTGAGGTACCGGATTTAGAACAACAAATGTACAGATTGTCTTCCATGGATGGATGGCTGCATTCTGAACAACAATCTAAATCTTGTATACTGAATTTATTTATTATAACCACAGTTCAGTCACGTCTTACTCGATCTTGTGTGTGTCTCTGTTTCGATATGTGATACCATATATACTATGTTTAAGCAGGCAGATCCCTGGTTGTTAAAATAATGTGCATTTTTTATTCAATATAAGAAGTTTGTGCAGTAGTTTCTATCTGCACTCTGGTAATTTATGCTTTAATCTTATGACCTTGCAAAAATATGCTAATTAAATCCTCCTTATCTGCAAGTTAATGACTTAGTTTGAAGAAATCAACATCTTACTATTGCTGTCTCAGCAGTGAGAAGTGAGAACACAACTCACCCATGTTGCAAAAATCCTATGGCATTCAAATTAAAAGCAACTTCCATTCTAAAAAAGACAAGATAGGATGATTTCTTTAAAGTCAAAGTATAGTACCCACCGTAATAAATAGATTATATATCCTTGAGTGAACGAATATAATTAATTCTCTTGAAAGATATTACGGAGTATAATTTTGTCAAATCCTTCCATCACACACATTTGAATTTTGAAGATTATAAAAAATCACTATAATTATTTTCAAACTTAAATTCCTGAAAGTTCAAAAACCTTCCCAAAATACCTTACTTGAGAATATGTCAAGATTTCATCATCAACTCCCTTTTGATTCTTACTCTTGACTGATTATATAAAAATCAAGATAAGGCAATGGAATATAACCGGTTTATTAACAAAAACTGTTTTTATGTGATTTTTTAATTTTTCAGTTTCCTATTTTCTATTTTTTGTTTAGAAAACTTGTTTAATAACATTTATTTTTTTAAATTTAATTTTTTTTATTAATGTTATAAAATTAACACAATTTTAATTTCAAGTGATTTTCAAACCTTACATTTAAAATAGTTTGGATATGTTTGGTTTAAATGGAATAAATATAACTTTTATTTTTAAGTCTAATATTTGTAAGATTTTTAAATTGAGATGTATAATTATACTTTTTATATAAATTTAATAAACTTTTATCTTTTATATATCTCTATTCTACTTCTTAAAAACCGTTATGACTTTTGTAAATTAAATGTTAACAATAAGTTTTAAAATAATAAATACATACTTAATTACTTTAAAATTGTGATGAGTTTAGGAAAATAAAGATTAAATATTTTATATTATTTTTTTTACAGAATTTCTAGTGTTATTTTGCACCATTGTCTTCTGTAATCATGTATGGTATATAGATTGTATATTTGTATTAGATAGGGGTGTTTGATATATAGTTTTTCAATGAAATTTTAGTTGATTTAATGAACTTTAATTGTTTGACTAACTAAAATAAGCGTTAGACAAAGTCTCTCTCTCTCTCTCCTTTTTTTTTTTTTTTTTAAGCTAAGCTTATTAATTAATGACAGTATATATACAAAAAAATGAAAAAGTTATTAAATAGTTGAAGTAACTTTTGGTATTATCTAATTGTTTTTTTAAGTCTAATTTTTATCTTTAATAGTTGTTGGTTGTGATATTTATATGTATTCAATTTTTATTTGAGTTTACATTTTAATGTTAAATTATTATAATTAATTACTTCTTTTTAATTATGACATTAATAATAATAGTTAAAATAATAAAATAATGTAAAGATATTTCAATTAATAAAACAATAGATTCAATGGTTCACATATTATCGTCCGACTGAAAATAAACATCTAATTTACTACATATTTAGTCAACTGAATGTAAACATTTAATTTACCAAACATTTTTTATAAGCACTGATATTACCAACTGGTATAATTATCTACCAACACAATCACACTAATTGCTAAACACTTGTACATTAGCATGCACTTGTCCTTGTAATATTGGTGAAACAAAAAATATTATGTGTAATTGTAGTTGATGCAATAGCAATAGCAATAGCACATGTGAGCTATAAATGCCTAATTTAAAATTTGATTTATGTTTGAAATCCGCAATTTTATTCTTTCCAAAAAGTTGAACCCCAACCCTAAGGTCCCTACGGCCCGACAGAGCATCTGGGAGGATGTAAATCATGATAATTCAACTGAACATGAACCCTGCACAGAGACTAGACCTTTCATCTGTGACTGGTGAGACTCGATCCCTGGTCATTCTTTTCAACTTTCACCTCTATGACCAGTTGAGGTGCCCGGGCAAATCCGCAATTTCATATATTAGCTAGGATCGGATCGGATATTTTGGCATGCAACATAACTCACGTATCTACGTATGTTATGTATGTATGTATGTTACATCTAGCTAGCTGATCTGATCAATGCACATACATCAATTCCACATGCACATACACTAGCTAATTAATAAACCAAAAACTAAATAAACCTTCCCATCCATGAGAGCTTCCTACCATTACCACCACCACCGCCGCCTGTAAGGCTGTAACGGAGGAGCTAAGCTAGGATAGCTTGCCATATATATATATATATATCCACCATGGTCTTCTTCTTCACGTCCTCCGACTCAGGAAAGCAAGCCCTCTTGGTGTTGACGCTCATCCTCCTCTGGTACTCCTCCAACATCGGCGTTCTCCTCCTCAACAAATATCTCCTCTCCAATTATGGCTTCGCCTTCCCAATCTTCCTCACCATGTGCCACATGACAGCCTGCGCCCTCCTCAGCTACGTCTCCATTGTCCTCCTCAAGCTCGTCAATTTCCAGCACATCAAGTCCCGCTCCCAGTTCCTCCGCATCTCCACCCTCAGCGTCGTCTTCTGCGCCTCCGTCGTCGGCGGCAACATCTCCCTCCGCTACCTCCCTGTCTCCTTCAACCAGGCCGTCGGCGCCACCACCCCTTTTTTCACCGCTTTTTTTGCCTACCTCATCACTAGTAAGAGGGAGGCCTGGGTCACCTACACCGCCCTCGTCCCCGTCGTCGCCGGCGTTGTCATCGCCAGCGGAGTATGTTTTTTATACCCCTATCTATCTATCTATCTATATTGTCATTTTTCTAGTTTTAAAAAAAGTGAAATTAATTAAATGGCGTCAGATCTGGAAATGTTGTGAATGCTTATCTCATCATCTGTGCCTTGTTTGGTAATGGTAATGGTAATGCATGTGATGGGAGCTTGGGGAATGCCTATTCCGGATACAGACAGGGGAAATTGTGATTCTGACGAATAAAATACCCTAAACCAAACATGCCATAAGAAGAATAAAGTTGTTGATTCACGGATGTCGATGTCTATATTTGAAAGGTCACTGATTCACTGCACATACATTGCATGATACATATAAGAATTGAAATGTGTGTGTGTGTGAAGAGACTTTCAGGCAGGATTTTGGCTGTGATGGAATCCTCAAATCTGCAATTTTCTACAAGAAAGTTGAACAAAATAGTGGAACTAACCCTTTTACTAAACAAATCTAATTTCAATTCCCACTAGCTATTAGGACTTTTTTTTGTTTTGGAAGATTTAACATTAACTTATCTGTTGAATGGCAGGGTGAGCCGAGCTTCCATTGGTATGGGTTTATCATGTGCATAGGATCAACTTCTGCAAGAGCTTTCAAGTCTGTTCTTCAGGGTGTTCTCCTTTCCTCTGAAGAGTAATATAATTGCTCTCATCTGTCTGCTGCTACTGTCTATTTATCAACCACTATATTCTGCATCTATCTATCTCATAAACAAATCACTTAATTGGCTTTTCCTTTCAGGGAAAAGCTCAACTCCATGAACCTGCTTCTTTACATGTCACCAATAGCAGTTCTGGTCCTATTGCCTGCAACACTTGTGATGGAGCGCAACGTGATAGATGTCATTCAATCACTTGCGGCGAACCACAGTCATCTGTGGTTGCTTCTTTTCGTAAATTCCACAATGGCATATGGAGCCAACCTGTTAAACTTTCTGGTCACCAAGCATACAAGTGCACTAACACTCCAGGTCTGTTTTAATTTGCAGCTGCTCTAAATTTAGACTGCTTTAATGCTTAGTACGTGTTGAGTTCATTCAACCATCCAACTACTATACACATTTTTCTCCATCTTAAATCTCTGCAGGTCTTAGGCAATGCAAAAGGTGCAGTTGCTGTTGTGATCTCAATACTTATTTTCCAAAACCCTGTAACCTTCATAGGAATTGCAGGCTATACAATTACAGTTATGGGGGTTGTTGCTTATGGGGAAGCCAAGAGGAGGTACAGCTAAAGCGTAATCCCTCCTAGCTCCTTGTAGGGTTATATATATATAGGTGTTAAACTATAGGTGGAGGATAACTTTTCATTATAGCGTTATACTTTTCCTGCATATAGGATGTGTAAGCAGTGTGTGACAGATTCTAATGTGGTTGTTTCAAAGTGATATTTTAATATTTCATTAATATTTGAAGTTAAGATCTTTATCACACAAAGGATACACAGATTCAGTTCAAGAAAATAATACTAATGAAGAAACAGAAAAAGATAACTGTACTGGACATGCTAAACTTCAAAATCTGCTGTATATAGACTTACACCGGCAATAATGATTTGATGATCATCAAGGCTTTATATTCAGTCCTGCATCTTAAGTCAGTTCTGGACCATTGGGCAATAGAGAATAGCCATCATGTTGCTTAACAGTTCCTTCAGTAATAGGGATCAACTTCAAAACCACTCCGACGATCATGCTTGAAGCGCCAATTAAGATGCTGAGTAACCATAGATGCCAGCTCAGTGGTATAGTACTAGCAAATGTGCCCAGAAACTCGACGATGATAACTTGGAAGATAACTGTGAAAACCATGACACCTATAAATATCCAGTTACCAATTATGCCACTGAAAACATTCAACTTCTCAATGTCACGGCTGTTTACTTCATTGAAGACCTGAAAGGAAACCAATGAAAACATAGTTAGAAGAAACCCACAGGAGTTCTGCAAATATAAGTGTTCCAGGAAATAGGGTGGGTTTTTGTTTCAGCAATATATGTTATGATGACTCTCCAAATGAAACCAACAAGATATGGGGCAAGTGAGATATCATATACATACCTGACAGAACACAAAGGTATTAAATATAAAAGTATTGAGGACTGCCTGGGCATCTGTTCCTTCAAGTCTCAATAGTTGTTTGCCGGAGAAATTGAAGACTAAAAGGATAACCAGTTGATAAACACTTTGACCAAAAATGTTTCTCCACATGGCCTTTGTAATAAAACTTACATCCCTCCCAACAGGAGGCCTTTCCATCATTCCTTGATGGGGAGGTTCAGTAGCGAGTGCGAGTGCACCTAACGTATCCATGATCAGGTTGACCCAAAGCAATTGCACAGCAGTAAGAGGAGCAGATCCTGAAAATCAAAATCAAAATTAAAAAGATTAGAAGTATTCCACAGGTGTTTTTCACTTCTATTAGCATAAGCTGACATTCATGGTAAGATAAGCTAGCCAGAGAAGTACAGCTTACCTGAGATACATGCAGAAAGAAAATTGATCATGAGGGCGACAACATTGACAGTTAACTGGAATTGCACAAACTTTTGGATGTTTAAATAAACAGCACGCCCCCACTTAGCCACTTTAAGAATAGTTGTAAAATTGTCGTCCAGAACAATTACATCAGCACTTTCTTTTGCCACCTAATGAAGTCATTTAGCCAAGGGTACAAAATGATGATGATTTCAGTATGTTTTAACTCTTTGCAAACAATTCAATAGAATATCTTGCAATATAACTATGTATGCTAAAAAAAAAAATACTATAACAAACTATAGTTCATGAATTTTCATAAACCAACCTCAGTTCCAGCTATACCCATAGCAAGACCAATATCTGCCTCATGAAGGGCGGGGGCATCATTAGTCCCATCACCAGTAACTGCAACCACTTCCTTAAACATGCCTCTCAAATTCTTTACAAGCACATGTTTGTCCAAGGGAGATGACCGAGCCAAGACCTGCATTGACGGTTTAAATGTTTAGCAACAATATATTAACATCACATACATAGTGAGATAACAAGATCAGTTGTGCACCTGAATTCTAGGTATTAATTCCCTCAACTCATCAGGAGTTTTTCTGCGAAATTCAGATCCTTCAATGGCAAAGGCATCATCGGTTAATATGCCACATTCTTTAGCAATGGCTTTGGCTGTGTTAATATTATCACCAGTGACCATTCGCACTTTAATTCCAGCAGCAAGACAGGTCTTTACTGCATCCTCGACACCTGGACGAACTGGATCCTTGATTCCCACCACTGCTATTAATGTATAGCCGTAATCAGGGATATTGTTTTCAAGACGACCATCTTCAATGTCTTTGAAAGCCAAGCAAAGAGTACGTAAAGCTTCACTGGCAAATTCGTTAATGACATTTGTGATATTTTCCACCTGTCCTCCAGACAAGTGAACAAATTCTCCATTGCCATCAATTGCCCTATCACACATTCTTAATACAATCTCAGCTGCACCTTTGCAGAAAGCTCGGATAGTTCCATCTGGAAGAGCCACTAGCACAGACATTTTTTTATTTTCAGAATTAAAAGGTTCAACTTTCAGAAGCTTGCAATCCTTCCGTTGATCATCAAAATCACCACCCAGCCCCAATCCATATTCCAATATGGCTGATTCTGTCGGTGTACCCATAATGGATATCTTTCCTTCCTTATTCTTTACCACCTCAGACTCTGTATTGTGGAATATTGCTTGCAGAAGAATGGCTAACACATTGTCCGAAATCTCTGAACTAATGTTGCCCCTGTCATGACAAGTTTTTACCATGTTAACTTTCCCACAAATCCATGTCTTATTAACCACCATGTGGTTAGTTGTTAGTGTCCCAGTTTTATCTGTACAAATACAAGTAGCAGATCCCATCGTCTCACAAGCAGAAAGATGCTTCACCAGTGCTTTGTTGTCCATTAACTGTTTCATTGCAAATGCAAGACTCAGTGTTTCAGCTAGAGGAAGTCCTTCTGGAACTGCAACAACTATAATAGTTACTGCAGTTGCAAAGTAATTCAAAAGTGTTAGCAGATCAGCAGAAGACCAATTGGTAAGTTGATGATTAAGTCCTTTCTCCACCAGAAACCTGACCATCAACACCAAAAATGTCAAAATAGCAAATGCAAGTCCTATTTTCCCTATAGTTGTAGCTACTGCATTGAGCTTAACCTGAAGCGGGGTCTCATCTTCTCCTCCCTCACTAAGTGTTCCCATCAACTTACCCCACTCGGTTCTCATACCAACTGTAGTCACCAGCATCTTTGCAGAACCGCCTTGCACTTTGGTTCCTGACAAAAGAAAAGGCCTTCTTTCATGTATGTTCACTGGAACACTCTCACCGGACAAGCTTGATTGATCGACTAGCAAGCTGTATCCAGATATGAATATTCCATCAGCTGGAACCAGATCGCCAATCGACAGATGAACAACATCTCCAACAACTAAGTCATACGTGTACACCTTCTGTCTATATCCATCTCTAGTAACTTGGATTAATATCTTATTCTTCTCCTTATCCAAATCCTTAAACTGCAAAGCCTGTCGGTAGTCACTTATGGCAGTAACAATTACAACAAGGAATATACTAACTATAATTCCTAAACCATCATACATGCCTCTTGGCCACCCTTCAGTGGCAAGGCCAACAGCTATGGAGACAACAGCACACACCATTAGGATTATGAGTGTTAAATCATGAAATGCCTCCCACACAAATGTCCAAAAGCTCCGAAAAGGCTTTTCAGTAAATTTGTTGAATCCATATACACTTTGTCTGATAGGCACATCACCAGATTGGATTCCTTCATTTAAGGAGACTCCCAGCCTAGCTGCAAGGCCTTCAACTCCTCCAATTTTCCTTAAGGCATTGATATCATAAGAGCCAACAATAGTTGCAAGTTTATCTGGGTGAACTCTGAAGCTTGCTGCCCCGGCCACTTCTAGTAACCCTCTTTCAATTTCAATTTCAATTTCATCTCCTAAATCTCCCACCTCCTCTGGAGACTTAGCACGATCACCGGCTGTACAAAAGTAGAAAGGTGAAATATGAAGAAGCAAGCAAAAGCAAGAGTAGAAACATAGATAACAAATGATCTACTCACCATTAATGAACTTGATAGCTGCCAAATAAGCCATAAAACCAACTCGAAGTTTTTCCTTGAAGAACATGTAGCAAATGAAGCATTATTATCGCAGAGAATTGGAAATTGGAAATTCAACTAAAGTTAATAACCGAAATTCTCACAGACAAAATAAATAAATAAATAAGATGTGTAAAACGTGAGTCCTTACTCTGGTTTTCTGCATAATCTGCATAGCCTCGTCGCGTTTTTCAAAGTTGGGGGTGTAACGGAAGCGGCGGCGACGATTTAGGACGAGAGTAACAGCCTCCCTCCACCGTCTTCGGGCCTCATCCGACGACTGCTTCTCCATTTTCTCCGGTGAGAAAAACTAGTACTATATACCGGCTTCGGCTAGCTGCAGCAGCAGTAACAGTTAACTATACATACAACCATAGAATATGCTAACAAACTTGGATGAAGAGCCAAGCCGATCAATACCATTTTATTCTAACTTCTTTTAAGTGTTTACATTACATACTGAATCTGTAGGGTCAACAGAAGATTTGGATTGGTGATAACTGAAAACAGAGGAATACAAAGATAATGTAAACGTAAAATTTGTATTTCTTTTCTCCTTTTATAAAAGACTTCCTTGTCAGTCTTCTCTCTATTTCTTGACGTGTGGAAATTTTGTAATCAATGACTTATTTTGTTGCCAACTATCATACTATTTCATGGTCAGGTTTAAACTCGTTTGATTTAGTAAAGGCTTAAATTTTTTAGACTGAAAATGTTTGAGAAAACATAAAATAAATATTACAGTACCTTGTAAAAAATCATGAAAAATACTTATTTTGCCTTCTTTATTCACAATAATTAGCCCCAATAATTAGGCCTCTTACCTCTCTTTTCTTGGCGATTGATTGACAGATAAATAGTGAAATATTATGTTATTTATTGACTCTATATTGCTGCATAGTTGCATGTTTGTTTCTGGGATGCTTTAACATCGTGATGAACATTAAAAGATAGGTTTGTATTCAAGGCCTCAACAAACATACATTTGTTTTTACCCATCATAGAGTATTATTAACTACACTTGTAAATTTGTCATATCAATGAATTTTGTCCAGAAGTGAAAATAATCATTTTTGTAATTTTATTTATTTCCTTCTTTTTCATCCCTAAAATTATTCCAAGAAGAATAAGAGTTGATTAGACAAAAATTTTACCACCAGCTTTACAAATATGGTATGATGAATTGATGATAGGTTCTTTTATTTTTTTTTTTAATAAAAGTTTTGATACTTTTTATAATAATAATAATAATTATTATTATTATTATAATCAAATAGAACCAATTTAACTAGCCAACTACCTTTTTTTTCGAAGAATTGGTTAACTATTGGTTACTCCTTTGAATGAATTCCAATTAGTATATGATACAATGGTTACTCCAATAATTTTGAATAGAGACGCCAGGTGATTCTATCATATCTACATAATATACTTGAGGAGAAAAGTACAGATTTCCATTATGACTTTGACTTCAAAATATGCTGACAAACTAAATATTATCTTATTTTCAATTGATAAGAAATTAAAAAGTCTCCAATGGCTGATTAAAATTTTCAATAACCGGCCGCCAGGGTTGGGTGTGTGAGAGTGAGAGCACATCATAGATTAATAGATTATTCACCACTACTTTATACTTATCATGAATTTTGTTGATTTTTAGCACCAACACTCCCCACAAAGTCTAAGAAAATATATAAAGTCAGAGGGAAAATGATACAACGGCTACAAAAGATGACCAACTAACTACTACTGCCATAACATTCTTTACTTTTTTAAAGCAGATAGAAACTAGCCAACAAATTACCAGCTTAGTAGTTAAGCATGCTTATGATATATCACCTTAGCAAGAAACTATTGTTTTATGATGGTTGTTGAAGAGTTCACACCATGTTAAGGAAGGCAGGGTGCTAAAAACAGGGGAAGAAGGACCATTTCTAAACCTTATCAAGATTCTTCATATTTCTTTACCTATTGGTGGATTCAGAATCTAAAAAAGGAACCATTGGAGTGGGGCTGCAATGCTTCAGAACATATACTTATGCTGTTTTCTTTTTCACATGTAACTACTATGTACCAGTCTTTCTGCTTCACGGTTTAGGCACCTTTTGCCATGCTGCACAAGTTTATGAAAATCCCAGCTTTGGTAGGTTTCTTGAGTTGAAATGGCTACTAGCATGAGTAACTATGACGGCAATTATCCTCAATCAGCTAACATGGTTTACACAATCACCTTTACGGTAGGCAGATGGCTCGTTTGGTTGGTAACTGATCACACATTACGCATGCTTAAAGAGCTTCATGCTGAGCCAATGAAAATATACAGCAACAAGAAGGACAGGAAGTGTTAACGGAACCAAAAAGCAGTAGTATCTGAAATAAAAGGAACCCAAGGTTAGACTCAGTTTAGTGAGATTCACTATATAACCTTAGAAAGACAATTGTTTGAAGTTGTATAATGATCAACTTCAAATCTTTAATAAAGTTTTTCTAGCCCTATATAATTACTATTCAATATAACTCATTTTTCAAACTGAAATTTCCTAAACCGTACTAACTTCACATCTTCCGTTGGCATTTATGCACCACTTGGGCCTTTCTTGACAAAAAGATTCATAGAACCTTTTCATTTCAATGTCAGGGTTCCATCAAAATTGATGACTCGGACTTAAAATTGCAGTGACATGGTATACATATAGACTATAATGATAATCCATAGGTAGTGAACTGGTATAAGCAGGGTAATCACAATTTCATTAACATAGCAATGAAAACGATCTAACATCAAATGAGGAAAATTTACCTGTCATTTTGAATGGCTGCTATTATAGGATTACCAGAAGCTGGAAGAAACTTGGACAAACCAGCAGCATATACAAATAGCAAAAATGAAATCGACCCGAAAATGATAAGCACCCATCCTTGAGCTTGTGAACCAAACTTAGACAAAGAGGATAGTTCCATTTTTATTTCTTTTTATATCCTAGCTGTCGCTTCTGAAGAATACTAGGCAGAAATCAGAGGTTGTGTGTCCATCGCATAAAAAATTTACACTTCATCTCTGGGTTGTTCAGACATTTTGTCAAACACCTAATCCTCGAGCATCAGCTTGCAAACAGAGTGACAGCTGATTCCAACTATGAAATCTTCAAAGGGTGGCTTAATTTTCTCCAAAGGAGACTCTCAACCTGTAGCTATCATTGAGGTTTGGACGGAGAGTAGTGAGGTGAAAGAGGCACTGCTGAAGCAATGCATGTACGCAGTAAGTTTGAGCAATTCAAAAATGTTCAAGACAAACACAAATAAAAGGGTTCAACTATAAAATTTTAATATTTTATAGACAAATAAAACGTTAAAGTAAATTATATGACGAACTGGACACATTATAAATTGAGTTAATTCCATTTTTTGTCAGAGTCCAACAGTCCACATTTAGTTCTTTTTTATCCGAATCTCTCATTTTGGTCCTAGTATAATTGTGACATAACCATTTTTTTCTACATCAACCAAATCGATAAGGACATTTCAATGGAATTATCTCTCGTAAATTTAACAAATTTAGAAATTCATATATTCAATTTCATATATTAATAATTTCACAATTTGATATCAAATTATCAATCACAATTCTAGCACACATTATAAATTTAACAAATTTACAAATTCAGAATTACACAATTAAGGAATTGTAAATGAATTTCACAAATTAAAATGTGCAAATCTAATAATCAAATCTCATATAATATTTAGGGATTTAGGGTTAGGATTGGAACCTGCCGGCCGGTCAACCAAGCTGCTGCACTGCTGGTTGTCGCTGCGGACTGTGAAGACGCAGTGACTAAAGGCGCGAACTGTGATGAAGAGTTGCGTTCTGATATTTTGCGCAGTGACGTGACCTGCACTTTGGATTAGAGCTGTCTATATATATATATATATATATATATATATATATATATATATATATATATATATATATATTGTCTTCAATCTCAAGCCAATTGAGATGATTCCAGGCATGGATTTGGATACCCGGGTTTTTACTAAAATAGACAAATTTGAAGTGAGCGGATAAAAATATGATATTTTAAAACTTAGTCAAATTAAGAAAAATTCGTTTGGGACTTGAGTTTCTAAGTAAAAAATGTGAGTCCTAACTGAATTTGTTACATTTTTAAATTATCTTAATGTTTTTGATGAAAAAGAGACAAATTCATTTGGAATTTGTGTTTTTTTTTTTTTATTAGAAACTCAAACCCAAATGAAATTTTTTGAGTTGTCTAACTTTTAAAATGATCTTATTTTTGTCCACTCACTTCAATTTTGTATGATTTTAGTCAAAAGCTCCAAATTTGGTTAGGTTGTGGCCTATACTTATTGTCGATCAATGCCTTCTCGGTCCACTATTTGCACTTAGCTTGGGCTAACCACGATCAAGTCATACTATCTCAAAATATCCCGTCTTAAGTTCCTAACAGTTATGAAGTGTTTGGTTAAATGGAAATTTTTTTTTCCGATTTTGAAGAAAATTATATTTTCCACTGTTTGCTTATAGGAAAAAAAATTTCAATAGAAAATGTTTTTGTAAAGAATAAAGAAAAAGTTTTCACTCATCTCTTAGTATTTTGTTTTCCATTAAAACTTGATCATCCACTTTTCATTTTCAATATTTTGTTTTCCATTGAAACTTGATCATCCATTTTTCATTTTCAATGCCAAAAGTTTTTAGATCAAGCAAACCTAATTGTTATAATACATACTCTTAGCTGATAAGTTTAATTGAAAGCTGATTATGTTAGCTAATTGTTTTTTAACATAATTGTCACCACCAAGACTCAAATCCACCACCTCCTACATAAGGGAGCAATTTGGTACCAGTGGATCACAAATTAATTGTGTTAGTTGATTTGACCAACAAAAAGTATTACTTGGTTATATATAGAAATGTATTTGGTAAATTAATTATTTACTGTTAGCTTATTACATGTAAAAATAACCTATAAGAGCATTCATATTGTTGTTGTTGTTATTATTATTATTATTATTATTATTATTATTATTGTTATTATAATAATAATAATAATAATTATTATAATTATAATTATAATTATAATTATAATTATCATTATAATTATAATTATAATTATAATAATAATAATAATAATAATAATAATAATAATAATTATTATTATTATTATTATTATTATTATTATTATTCACTACAAAAAAAACGCGAGAATAGCGACGGATTTAGCAACGGATCAATTCCGTAGCTAGGCCGTTGCAAATCTCATCGCCGGATTGTTGTAGTAGAAAATTAACGACGGATAATTTTTTGTTTTAGCGACGGAATTTCCGTCGCTCGCTAATTGTAGGGACAGAAAATTCCGCCGTTATTCGCTCACAAATTTCCTCTTCGAAAGAAATCTAGCGATGGATTTATTTCGTGTTGCGACGGACATTTCCGTCGCTAAACCTAGCGACGAAAAAAAAATTGTCGCTAAATTCTAGCAACGAGGGGTTTTGTGACGGACGTCGCTAAACACTTTAGCAATGGATTTTTGGATTTTCACTATATGAAATGATCATTAAAAGACTAAATTTAATTAATGCATGTTCGTCAATACAAATCATAAACTATCTCAATATTTAACTAAAACTACTAATTAATAATTCATTCAAGATCAAATGTTCTTTAAAAATAAATACATATGACATCTACGCTCATAAAGTTTGAAGTCATAACAATGTGCACTGTAATGCACAACAATGTGCTCTAGAAGAAGGGAAAATGTGCACTGGAACTCTAGAAATGCAGAAATGTGCATTTAAATGTAGAACATTATGAAATAATCATTAAAATACTAAATCTAATGCAAGATCTTTAGTACAAATCATAAACGATCTCAATATTTAACTAAAATTAGTAATTAATAATTCATTCAAGATTAAATGTTCTTTAAAAATAAATACATATAACATCTACGATCATAAAGTTTGAAGGCATAACAATGTGTAGTGTACTGTAAGGCACAACAATGTGCTCTAGAAGAAGGGAAAATGTGCACTAGAACTTTATAAATGCAAATATGTGCATTTAAATGTAGAAAATTATGAAATAATAATTAAAAAGACTAAATTTAATGCATGATATTCAACACAAATCAAAAACGATCTCAATATTTAACTAAAATCATGGTTGCAGTAGGCGCTAGGCGCTAGTTGAAATTCATGAAAAATAAATTATTAACTCCAATGCACAAATGAAGGGCAACAACACATGTATTTATTTATAATAAATGACCAAACTCTAGAAATGTAAAAATGTGTATTTAAACTATCCTAGCGACGGAATTCATCCGTCGCTATTGTGGTGTTTTTTGTAGTGATTGTAATTATTATTATTATTAAAAAGGTGAATTTGAAATGATAACTAATTATTGGGTTAAATTATAATTATAGAAAATATGGCATATAAAAACCAAATGCCCTATTTAAACTCACCATCCTTTTCCATTATCTCCTACATTTGCGCTATCGACTTTCAACAAACTCAAAGTGGAGAAAAAAAACGGGCGTCTTCAATGTCAATGGTTTGGGAGTTTGAAGTTGAGCGATGGTAAAAATCCAAAGAAAGAAGAAAAGGTATCCGAGTTTGTTAGTTGCAGAAAATCTTAGTACAAAATTTACATTTATTATTATTTTTTGTTTGTTTTTCTGTATCTCTGTGGCATTCCATTACTTGATTTTGTAGTAGAAAATCCTAGTACCCAAAAAAAAAAAAAAAAAAAAAGACATTTTCTTCTCTTTCATTTTTTTAGGTTTACATTTTTGCGTTTTGTGCTTCCGTTGCTCAATTTTACAATAGAAATCAAAAATACAAAAATAATAATAATAATAATAAAATCATCTCTCTTGGTAGTTCTTTGAATTTTAGAGATGGAAATAAGGATGATGGCTTAGAGAGTGGCGTTGTTTTTCCAGTTTTTTCAATTTACTCTAAAATTATTAGAGAAACGATTGTCTGGCTTAATTGTGAGAAGATGAGAATAGGATAAGAAGATTTAGGGTTAAAATTGTCTTTTAGAAATGATTTGCTACCATTGAATATGAAAATGTTGGTGCAACTAACGTTTTGAAAATCAACTTATTGGTACAATTAGCTGATCCAATTAGTCGATTTACCAAACACTAATGTTAATTGTGTTGACCAAGTGATGAAATAGCTAAAATTGATCAAATCAGCTAATTTTTTGTTAATTAGTCAATTATCAATCATGGCATAAATGCTATGTTTAAATCATTTTCAAAATTGGATGCCCTCTTAACCCGTTTCTAGTCTAGGGCTTACATGTGAAATTGACCTATAAGCGCATTATTGTTATTGTTATTGTTATTATTATTGTCATTATTATTGTTGTTGTTGTTGTTGTTAAGAGGGTGAATTTGAAATTAAAACAAATTATTGGGGTCAAATTATAATTAAAAAAATATGACAGATAAAAACCAAATTCCCTAATTAAACTTACTTTCCCTTTCCATTATCTCCTCCATTTGCGCCACCGACTTTCAGCAAACTCAGAGTGGCGAAAAAAATGGCATCTTTGACGTCAATGGTTTGGGGGTTTGAAGTTGAGCGATGCTGAAAATCGATCCGAAAAAAGAAGAAAAGATATCCAGGTTTGTTGCAGAAAATTTAAGTATAAAAATTATGTATTGTTGTTGTTGTTGTTGTTGTTGCTGCTGCTACTGCTACCCTACTAGGATTATTATTATTTGTTTGGTTTTCTATATCTTCGTGGCCTTCCATTGCTTGATTTTGCAGTAGAAAATCTTAGTACAAAAAATAAAAAAGGCGTTTTCTTCGATCTCTTTCATTTTTTGGGTTTGAATTTCTGCATTTTGTGCTTCCATCGCTCAATTTTAGAATAGAAATCTCAAATACAAAAATGATTTTCATCTCTTTTGGTAGTTCTCTGAACTTTAGAGATGTAAATCAAGATGATGACTTAGAGAGTGGCATTGTTCTTCTAAAATTTTTAACTTGCTGTAAAAATATGAGAGAAACGGTTACCTGTGAGAAGATGGAAATATGAGAAAAGATTTTGGGCTAAAATTGTCTTTAAAACATAAATTACTATCAGCGATTATAAAAACATTGGTGTAACCCGCGTTTTATAAATCATCTAATTGGTGCAATCGGCTGACCCAATAAGTCGATTTATCAAACACCAATTTTAGTTGTTTGATCAAGTGAAACTAACAACTAAAATTGGACAATTTAGCTAATTTTTCATTGACTAGTCATTTACCAAACATGCAAAATTGAATGCCCTCTTTGTCCGTTTCGATCTAGTCGAAAAGCGGGTTCTCTCTTTAATATATATCTATATCTATACATTTTTTTTTAAAAATCATATGCTCATAATCTAACACAAAGATTTATTTATTTATTTATTGCCCTCTTTGCTCATTTCTACATAGAGAGATGGTTCTTTGATCAAAAACTACATCTTGAGAAATTATTTTTGCTATCATATACCTGAAATCTACCGCAAATATTTTTTTTTTTGCCCTCTTTGCCCATTTCTAGCTTGAGAGTGGGCCGGGGTTTCTCCTCCAAATCTACATCTAGAGAAATTTCTTTTGATAGTCATACACTCGTGGCTATAAAATATATGAATTTTGGCAAATAAATTTTGCAAAACTTGATCATTCGTTTTCGATTTTCAATTTTAAATACCAAAACCTTTTAGATCAATCAAATCTAATCGTTGTAATACATCCTTTGCAAAGATAGAGAGAAGAAATATGCAAGAAAAAGAAACTCTCTCTATCTCCCATATAATCTAAGGGGGTGTTTGACAATTAGTTGATTCTGATTGTTGTTGTTGATGATGATGATGTTGTTATTGTTATTGTTATTGTTATTGTTATTGTTATTAAGATGGTGAATTTGAAATGATAATAAATTATTGGGGCCAAATTATAATTATAGACAATATGGCATATAAATATGAAATGCCCTAATTAAACCCACATTCCCTTTGCATTATCTCATCTATTTGCGCCGTCGACTTTCAGCAAACTCAGGGTACGGTGACGAATAAAAGGGCATCTTCAATGTCAATGGTTTAGGAGTTCGAAGTTTAAAGATGGTGAAAATCCAAAGAATGAAGAAAAGATATCCAGGTTTGTTACAGAAAAGCTTAGTTAAAAAATTACGTTTATTATTATTTGTTTGGTTTTTTGTATCTTTAATTTGTAGCCTTTCATTGCTCGATTTTACAGTAGAAAATCTTAGTACAGAAAAAAAAAAAAAAAAAAAAAAGACAACATTTTATTCTCTTTCATATTTTGAGTTTGAATCTGTTATCTGTCTAGATGATTTTTTTTTTTTTTTTAAATAGCTATGCTTTTAGTCATGAAGATTTTTTTTTTTTTTTTTTTTTTTTTGCCCTCTTTAATTTGCTCATTTCGATCTAGTAACACACTCATATTATTAGTTCCCTTTTTAAAACCTTTACATGATTTGACTATATGATGGTTGATTTAACAATTTAACATAGTATCTTAAAATAAAAATAATGAAGAAAAAAAAGAAAATGACAAATAACTATTCACCACTTCTGTCGCACCTATTTGACACGTGCAATGCACACACTCACATTATTAGTTGGTTTTATTTATTTATTTTTTGAAAGGAAACATCCAAACTTTTATTAAACTAACTGTTGAATATAAGATGGAACTGAAGAAAACCAAACAGAAGGACCAGATTGTGAAAGAATTGCTCTAGCCAAGGCATGAACACACTTATTCTCTGATCTAGGAATATATTTAAAGGACACACTTTAAAGTGTCTTCGAAGCTCATTAGTTGTTTTCTTTTAATCTATACAAATTAAATATGTAAAGTATTGAGTTGACTATGGTGGTTGATTTAACAAAGGAAAAGTCTTCTGGATGTCTTTGTTGGTGTAATATTTCATTGAGAAATGATTAAATTTTTTGGGAGCAAGCAATATTCCTAAAGTACTTTAATTAATAATTTGATATTTATTGTTCTTGTTACCAGAAGTGTTGTTTTGTTTGATCCTAATATATATAATTTCTTCTCCCAGTCGTGTATATATATAGGCACTCCCAACCAAATACCACCTGAAATGTATGCCACAGTGCACACATTGATCGAGTTGTAACTTGTAAAATTAAAGAGAGGTCTTGGAGTTTAATATTCCATCTAATTCATTTATATATCTGTCTATTATATCTATAGACTATAGCCCATACACATACAGAGGCTATTCAACCAAAAACAAAAGAGAAAACAACATAACTATCTAGCTCAACAGTTTTCTCTTTTTTTGCTATACATATGATCCGGGGATATGTATAGACGGATATATGGATGATGAACATATATATATACATCCATGCATCATCCTCAAATGTCCAACCTAGGGCGACCCAACCAGAGCGAGCTGAGAGCTCGGAGACGATGGAAATAATCAGCAATGATGAGAAAGCAGGTTGCTACTTGACGGATTGTCAAGATCTGATACAGCCTTTGGAGTGTTTGGGTCCTCAGATGATCAGCCTGCACTCACCCACAAATACTATTTACATGGGCCGGTGTTTTTGAAGTTTATTAAGTTAGGTTACGTTGGTTCGGAGTTTGGTCAATGAATAAAGTATAGGTACATTATTTAAGGACATGCAAGAAATTAGGTTGACTATTTTAGTGCGTACACGTTACAACTAGACAGATTGTACATACTCGATCATTAACAATCACGAATTTCAATATATGTGTCTTTGCGTGTATACATAATTTTAAAATTGAGTTAGAGGTAAAATTAAATGAGGGTACGTAGACATGCATGCATATGTATAGTAATTACGTACCTGTCTAACAAAAGTCTCAAGAGTACAGAGATTGGTGATGGCGGCAGCCATTTGGCCCATGCAGGTACCCAGATTGGAAGGGTAGAACAGTGCATTATCAGAAGAAATAATATCAGAGATTGTCTGATTCAGAGCTTCCATGCCTTGTGACAAGGCTTCTTCTGCTTCTTGGGTTGATTGCTGCAGTGCAATCATCCCCAACACTTGTTGCTCTGTCACTAGCTCCAATTGCCTCATAATTACCTATATATAAGTATTATTCTACAATCAGCTAATGTTATCAACCTTCTAATTAACCCAATCAGCTAACAGCTAATACCAAACACGCATTATATTACTTTTGTTAGTTTTGTAACCCATCAACTAACGCCTAATAACATATACTCAAATTACCGATTAATAAGAAGAAATTAAATAGTGTTATAAGTAGGTAGGTTAATGTAGGTACCTTGAGAAGTTGAGATGGGCGGAAACCGGCGATCCATATGAAGCAGCGTTCGACGGGAGTCCAGCACATGCCGGAGACGAGATAGAGAACATCGGATTTTGCCAGCGTGGACTTGAGATGCGTCATCTTTGCATAATGTGCAAAACACGCATCCACATACCTCTTCAGATCAATCTCCGACGCATGCTCATCAATAACTGCGTTTCGGAGCTCACATATCATCCCATGTTGCTCCTCTACCCACCGACCATACTCCATCTCGAAAGCTGCAGCTTCTATTTCCACAACATAATAATAATAATACTAATTATATATATATTATTCCATCAAATTAATTAATTAACTAATTAATCGTTACAGCATCCTCATCAATTAGAGCTTCTTCTTTTTTTAAAAGGTTTTTGTCATGGAAATTGAAGTCCTACCAGGGGTTATTTTGGTCATGGAAAGAGGATGCCCATGTTGAGCCCCAACTATACTGCCATTTTCAGAAATACGAACTCCCTGAATTAAATATATTTTTTTTAAAAAAAAAAAATGGAGTGTATTAATATATATAAAAAGAAAAATGATGAATTAAACAATATATATAAAATAATATTGGGATAATATTACTCGAGCTATGGCTCTTGCCACTTGTTGTTCCAATTGTATGAGCGTGATCCTGCTTTCCTCTAGCTGTTGAATATAAGCCTGCAGTAATACATTTTTTATTAAAAAAATTAGAGAAAAAATAATAGTAATAAATTAATTAATTAATATTTTGTGAAAAAAATAATTATATATGCCTTCTTCCTAAGCCTGCTTCTCCTAGCTGCCTCCCTATTCTGCGCCAGCCTCCTTAACGTCTGCAAATGAAGAGCGGGGATTAATTATTGTAAAAAATTCTATACTGTAATTAAACGTTACAATATATTATTACATAAATTAAGTAATATCAAATACTCTATTCCTCACTTTTATATATCTGATTTAGTTATTTATAAAAATGGAGGAAAAAAAAAAGCCGAAAAACAACCTTCCAGTGACGGTCTCCGCTTGAAGTCGAACCTCTACGACTTCCACTTGCTTCCAGCTACCAAAGAAAATGACGCAAATAGTCATGAAAGTGAAATGCGAACAGAACAAAACGTTGAATTTTGTTTATATATGTTTTTTTAATAGAGTTAAATTAATATTATTATGATATATACGTAGGAATTGGTAAAAGTAGGAAGATACCTTAAGAGGTTTGGGAGGATCAGAAGCTGAAGCCGAAGCAACAACAGCTTTGTTTTTAAGGTTGGAAAGTTCCATTAACGGCAGGGATGGTCTGTTGGAAGCTTCGGGCGTATCCGGAGAGACGACCAATCCAGCAATTGCCTCCTATATATACCAAACAACATAAAATAATGCATAATTAATATAATTATATTTTTAACAGCAAGAAAATGAAAGATTTAAAGAGTAGCTAGTTAACTACCGCAGTTGATGACGGGTTGACATGCATGGGCTGTGAGGGGAAAATATTCAGAGTATTTGGTGGCCTCATCCCATCATAATTCTCTGCACCTTTAATATCAGAAATATTTAATATAAAATTAAAATAAAAAAGAAAACTAAAAGAAGTTTGTTTTTTTGGTTGAAAATATGAAATATTAAAGAGAGTAGGATGAGCTTACGTCGTCGTTGGTCATGGCTTGATGAGGAGGGATCTTGAGCTTGAGCGTCGCCGAGAAAAAGAAGAAACTCTTGATCCAACTCACCCAGATCATAAGCTCCGTTGTTGTCCTTGTTCCTGTGCCAAATGCAAATTAAAAAAAAATCAGCTACCAATTCAAAACGATATATAGATCGAGATTAATACAATATATATATGTAGATATACATGGAATTCCCGGGAGGCGGAGATGAAGAGGGTAACTGCATAGTTGCAAGAAAAGTGTGGTTATTGAGCGCCGCCGGATCTTGAAACGGCGGCGGCTGAGCAACAGAGACCTGATTGGTTTTGCTACCAGAAGCGGCGGCCATGAAAGGGACCCCAACCCCAAGCAAAAGCTTGTTGTCATCGTTACCATTAATATTATTCTCTGAACCCATCATCTATCAACTAAACCCTAGGCACTAGCAAGCTACTAATAACTGGAAATGATGTTGTTGTTGTGAATGTGATAATTAAAGAAATTAAGGGGAGCGTTCGTGCGTGTGGGTTTTATAGGCGGATGGGGACGCCCAACGCCATAATCAATACGTACAGATGAGAGGTAGACGGTGGATCCAGTAAATTTGAAAGAGATAATTAAAGAGGGTTGGACTGAATTGAATACAATGAACCGAGTCGAAGAAACAAAATCATATATGGGTGGTTTTGAAGATGATAATATTAATATAGCTGTTTTTAAGGAAGATTATCGAGTTGAAGACGACGGGGAGATAAGTCCTGTTTAATTTTAGGATATCCCAAGACTTGAATACCAACACAGGAACTACCCCTCTCTCTCTCTCTCTCTCCCATTTAAGGAAGAAGACAAAAGTTAGAGAGAGAGAGAGAGAGAGAGAGAGAGAGAGAGAGAGATGATTACCAGGCCGGGTCCAAATCGGAGAAAACAGATATCATTTCTATTCTAGGGTTACTTGTCCGGCCATCTCAGTCTTGGCATTTAAATGACGCAAATACCCTTGTATTCTACGAGTTTTTACCTTTGAAATTTTCATGCAGCGTACTGAGCTTACACGTATACAGCTTTAGGCCTCATCCGGCCTCTTTCGGTCAAATGCATGGAATCGATTACTTCTTCACTTTCTCTCTCTAATATTTTCCAAGTTTTCTAAGGCCCAACTACTTAATTATTTCATTATTATTTTACAATCAAAATATCAAATACTAATTAAATACGGTTAATTACTTTTAATATTTATGGTATACTATATAATATACTAGATAGTAGATAGTAGATACTACACTTGTATAATTATTATGCCTAATAGAATACAGCAATATAAAAGTTTTCTTATTTCAAGTTTTTGATTTAATAATCAATTAATCAGAATTGTCTCTAATTATTTATAGTTTTATATTTTATAGTCCCCGTCCCATTTTATACAAGAGGGGAGTAATTAATTTAATGTTAGGGAAAAAATTCAAATGTTATAAAACTTGATTAAGAAATATATTCAACAAAAAATTAAAGTCAAATTTATAGAAGAATTTTATAAATTAAGTAAATACAAAACAATAAATGTAACTTTTAAATAATAAACATAATATAAATTTTAATTAATTCCTGTTATTCTCATTATTAATAAATTGTTTGAATTAATTTAATTAGCTAGTGAATCTCTTGTTGTCTCTGATCTCTCCTTTAATAAACCTTGCAAAATATAAAATAAATAATCACCAAATTTTAACAAAGATACACACACCAATATAACGCAAGTTTCTCTTATCACACACACATATAGGCAAGATCAAATGAACATTCCCAGCTCCCATATAATCCCAATTCCCATATAATATGTTTGTGCGCGTGTTATTATAAATTTATAAGATTTATATTTAAAATTAACATATGTTTTTAAGTTATTATTAAAAAAAAAAAATCATTTGAAGTCATTTTACATTGTGTTTTATCATCAAATGTATTTTTACTAAACTAATTAACTTATCAACGTTCTAATGTTCTATTTAGTATTTCGAGTTAGCTTCTCACAATTATATTAGAGTTTGTTAATCAATTGGTAGATTATGACTCAAAAAAAAAAAAAAAAATGTCGTCAACTCGTCATATGAACTACGGAGTACCATACTACGCATTACAATTCAAGTCGTAACGCTTTCATGAAACTTTGTACAAGCATGCATGCGTGAAGTACTAATTACGTACGTGACGTAAAGTCAGATCGATTTAATGCAGAAAGCTTCTGCACACTTACTGCACTTATAAATGGCAAAGGACTCTTGTTTTTTGGTTGTCTTTTTAAGAGTGCGTGCCTGCGTGGGACAAAGCGCCACGTAAAATTAGTCCATCGTCATCAGTCCACGGTAGCAAGTTGTCTTGTCAGTCTGATTAGTTGAGATCTAATCTTTTTAAAGTTTTTTTCTTTTTTTTTTTTTTTTCAAAAAACAATACTCTTAAATACTCCGTATAATACGGAGTAGCATTTTTGACCTGCTCCAAGCATGCAGGACTTCAAATTCAATTGCTTCATCCAAAATTCAACCAAAAACACAAATATATTGTAGGGAAGTTAACATCACTTTTAATTTGTGCAAATGGCTATAAATTTTAGTAATCCATATATTAGGTTTGATAAGTTTTATGTGAGGATGTATGTCTTATCTGGATGACAAAAAAAAAAATACGGAGTATAAATTTTAATTAAAAAGTTTTGACAAGTTGGGAAGCAGTGAAAAGTAACGGCGAATATAATGTGAAGCCAGAGCGGGTGCAGTTGGCCTGAAAAGATGGGAAATATATGCCTGATAGATTCTGAAGTGGAAGCTAGCATATACATATATATATGCAGCACTGTAACCTAAGCTAGCTTGTCTGTTGAATACCAACTTCTCCGTCATCAGAAAACTGCCCTCTTGTCCTCATCGCTAGCTGCAAATTAATTAGATTCATCAGTTATGTCAGAACGCACTGTTAAGGTTTTCTGCGTATGCATGATGCTTCACATTGCTTACAGCTTACTGCAACTTTAAAAGTAACATACACCTCATCTGGTTCCTAGGTGATAGAGGGCAATGATATAGGATTGTGCGTGACAGCTGCAAGAGTTATACTCAATATAATGGGCTTCTTGTAGACACCAGACAGGTCTTTCGAGCCATTGAGTTATAGTAATTTATCCCTCCACTATTCTGTAGGTCGAAGTGTGAGAGTCTAGAGGGAGGATATTTCAATTCGCTTTTATTGGACAACTTTAAACGTATATGCTTAATTGTTTGTGAATTATTTTGAACTTTTTTTTTTTGAGTAAATTGTTTTTGAATTAAGGAATAAGGGTCAAATAGGCTATCTAATTGCACACGATAATGCAATTAGACCACCGAATTTAAAAAATAACAATTAGGTCCCTAAACTAATCAAATTCATGCAATTTCTCCAATTTGTCGATTTTCAACAGGTCATCTCAAATTAAATTATTTTTTTTAAAAAATAATTTTTTAAAAATAATTATTTAAAATTAAAATTAAAAAAAAAAAAAAAAAAAAAAAACAGAACTCGAAGAAACCGTCTCCGGCCGGTTTCTTTGTTTTCATGGCCGGAGACGAAGGGTTTCCTCGTCTCCAGCCATTGAAACGTCGTCTCCGTCTAGACGAAGCTTCGTCTCCATAGACGGAGACGAAGAGTGACGAAGAAACTCTTCGTCTCTGGCCATGGAGACAAAGAAACCGACCAAAAGTTTTTTTTTTTTTTTTTTTTTTGATCTTATATATATAATTTTACTAAATTCAAATTTTAAATTAGTTGTTACAACTTTTTAACCAATTGTAACTGATGATCAGAATTTTTCGACCAATTTTTAAGGTTGGCCATAAACACCAACTAACCTTGTAATAGCTAAAACAATAGACAAACAAGATTTACCGTCGTGAAAATAAAAATAGATTACAAATATATTTTACTAGTACAAAGAAAAACATTATATATTGATAACAAGTTTTATCATATCCTAACGGTCTATACTATACTTCTTCATTTTCTTTCGGATCCAAAGCTGTGTGGATTTGATTTTCATATTTATGATTGACCCAAATCCGTGCGAGTCAATCTATGTGTGACGCATTAACCATGAGTAAAAATTAAAATAAATAAAAAACGAAAATAAGTGTAAAATTGACGCTTGAAATTAAACACCCGTGTGTGACAAGTTGACAACCTTAGACTGAACAATCCCCCGGCCCCTACAAAAGCAACAAGCATATAATAAGGCAACCTTAGACACCAGATACTATAAACAAAAGCCTCGTATGTCTCTACATATTATATCCATGCATGCATTCCTCACGTACTACAGCATTTCGTCTGTCCTGGATGGCAATCTTCTGATGAAATTAGCAGGTGCAGAGGGAAGCTTGCGGCGAAAAACCGGATGTCTCAACACAAACAATCCACTAAGGGTGGCCACCACTTGAAAGGGTGTGAAATACACCACAATCCCAGCAACAGAATACAAAATCAAAAACAGCACCGTAGCTCTGGGGTCTCTCCACCTCATTAAACCTACCAGCCTTTCTCCTTGAGTTGCTAGATCGCCAGCTACCGTTTGAAGCCTTCCCGCTATGCTTCTCAGACGGTCATATCTCATCCTCACTATATCAGCAGGCCGCGAAGTTGGAAACGTATCAAATTCCTCATCCAGCTCATCAGGGTGAACATTATCGAGAGATATGAGAGTGTTAACAGGAGGGTGCCATGGCCTCCATCTGTAGTTGTAGGCAACACACAAGGGGATGTACAGGGAAATAACAGCCAGGGTATTTCGCGGATATACTACCAGAATCAAGAACAGGATATGTATCACAACAGTTGTAATCGGGTTTTTCCAGTTGCATATTCCATCAAACCATCTCAATATCCAAATCAGCTCACTCAAAACACTCATAATCCTAAAAAAGTTGGCCTTGCTTTTCCTCATACTCCACATACTGGAACCAACATCCAGCATATACTCCACTACCTCTTTCCTCACGGGTGGCTCAGCTCGACTCAAGCTCATTGATACAATCTGAGTGGCCTGGTGCCTCAAGATGTCGGTCTGGCTAACAGTTAAGGGTTGAAGATGGTGCATTTTGGGTAACAAGGGCTGTGAGTACATACGCATTATATTAAGCAAGGAAGAGCAAGTAAACCTAACAGTCAACTGAATTTCACCCATCTTCTTCACTCCACTGGGAAGCAAAACCAGAAGTGGGTAAAAACATGCATAAACACGATCTGTGTCGAGAGTGGAAAGGCGAATCCTGATCTTTCCAATTTTTGAGTCTTTTGCCAAAGCAGAAGATCTATATCCAACCTGTGGACTCTGCAGATTACAGTTATCAAACACACCAATAGTGATAACTGTGTTAGGATCAAACACCTCCCAACTATATTGTTCATTCCACTCGGGAGCAAGGCTATCTGTTACTGTCTTGGTTCTTACCCACTTCTCGCCATATTTAGCAACACAATAAGCATCTGTAGTTGATGGCCTACGTTTCTTCATAGGTAAAAGGTCGCGGGCACTAAGAATACCCAATTCCAGAATGCCAATATTAGATTTCTGTAGCTGCTTAGCTGATGGTCTAAGATCACTGCTATAATGTGTTGGTTCATCAAGAACATGATAACCTCCTTCCAGGCATATTCTCACGCGAATCCTGCTGGAAATTTTTATTTCCTTCTTTTCCCTCTCTACCGCAACTTTCTCAAGATTATGCCACTTGGATTTCACTGGCCTATGATCCATCCTTCTGTCGACGTACTGTAAAGGAATAGCACACCTTCCCAGAACCTCATCCTTGTCTTCCACACTCAAAATGAGAATCTCCTCAAATGGCTCTGGAACTACAAACATTAGATCCTCATTCCACATTGGATTGGTGGATTTATTTGCAGAAACTCTGGTCCTCACAACCTGATATCCCACAATTGCCTTAACATAAACTTCTAGGGGCCTGCTCTGATCATTTGGCAACAAGTCATGAGCCTCAATCACATTCACTCTCAAGTACCAAAGCCTGGGCGAGAAGTACACCTTGGGCCTTGTATTTACAAAGTCATCAGCAACATTAACAGCTCGAGGTTGCGAACTTGATGCCTCAGGGAATGTGTCACTGAATTGAGCACTACCCATCCAAACAGCCAACATCAACTCCCCTTCAGCCCTATCCCCCCTCCTGCCCTTCAATCTATACCATTGCGGTGCAAGTGAAACATCCCGGGGGATACTAGATGGGATCTCACTCAAATCAAATGAAACCCAGCCAACAAAATCATCCTCAACAAAATCCTTATCTTTCACGGTCACTTCTAGCACAGAACTCTGAATGTGATCGTCCTTGGAGAACAAAAATACCTGATTCCACACAGGATTGCTATTCTTTTCTATGTGTTGGGTTATAGCATTACAGCTAGCCAGCCTAATTTCAACATAAGGATCAATATCTCCGGTAATATCCTTAGCAGGTAAATCTCTAGCTTTGACAACATACACATGCAGGTACTGCATCTCCTCAACAGTGTCACCAGCTGTGACCTTGCCTCCACCAACATTGGATTTGATCTCTTTAATTAAAGTGCTCTGCATTTCAAGGTTTTCTGTTCTCTACCCAAACAAGTGCAGAGTATTAAACACAGAACGAGCAAAAAAGGCTAAATACAATACAGAACTCCAACAATAAACTACATAATCAACAAAGAATCAAGTTGCCCGCACGGGCAGCTCTCTTGTGTAGCAGATTGTGGGTTAAGACATAGGATCAAGTTAGACTAGCTACCACAATTTAATTAAAAATTACACCCGTGGACTCCTTGTGGGCACCGCACATTGGTCCTCCCACCTACTAAGTTACCCTGATTTAGCCTCCACTATCCTATCAAGCCAGGCTGGGGTGTGGGATGTGGGGCGGGAATTTCACCTTTGCGGGTAACAAAGAACCAAGTCAATATACTAAATCAAAGAGAATAAATCGGCTGCAATCCAAAAAGAAATAAATTATGCATCTTTCGTTCTTAATTTCTTATAAAGCAAAGACATATGAGTGTTTGGTAAATAGTTGTTAGCTGATTGAGTTAGTGAGTTTGACTAGTTGATAGCATTAGCTGATTGTAGAAAGATGTTTGGTAAATTAGCTATTAGCTGATTACATACAAAATGACTTTCTCAAAAAGATTATCAAAAAAAAAAGCTGTTTTAAGCAACTTTTTGAATTTTAGCGTTTTGGAGCGTTACAAAAAGCTAATTAATCAAACATTTATATTAACTGTTTAACTATATTACCAAATAAGACCATCTTGATTTTTAAAACAGTAAATCTGTAAGAAGCAAAAATAAAACAAAATCAGAATGCATTTTGGTTATAAACAATCAATAATTCAGTGCGCAAGGGCCCATCTCTTGATCCTGATTATGTGGTTAGCAATTAGCAACAATCCGTAGCAGTAGATATGTAGAGTGAACATTTTTGTTAGCACAATTATTCACAGATTGAGAGCAAGCAGAAACAAGTGTACCTGAGCTTGATGGAATTGAAACTGATCGAGGATCGGAGGAGAAATGAAGGGATATGATATATATTTAGTCTGTAGTATTTAGATGATCATGCTTGTGTTACAGTGAGTGAAGGTACGTAGATAGATATACAGTAGAAAAGGAAATCTTCAATCGGCCGGCCTGGAGAACGGATAATGGAAATAATAGAGAGATGAAGAATGGGAGCTAGGAGTTGGGCAGTGGCACACCGTTGACCTGCGCATAAACACACAACTCCATTGCCCGGAGTTTTACGTTCAACTGGACGTCTGGACCTATTCTCTATTTTTAAGTCATTATATATATATATATATATATATATATATATATATATATATATATATATATATATATATATATATATATATATTCAATTATAGCCGACTAATCATAAATCTCAATAACTTGTGTGTTCACACTAGGGGTGTAAATGAGCCGAGCAGCTCGCGAGCCGCTTGCGAGCGGCTCGGTTAAAGCTCGGCTCGAGCTCGGTCAAAATTAAGCTCGAGCCGAGCTCGAACGGCTCGTTTAGCAATCGAGCTCGAGCCGAGCCTAGATATTCTAGGCTCGTGACTCGTCGAACCGCTCGCGAACCATATATATATATATATATATATATATATATATATATATATATATATATATATATATATATATATATATATATATATAACAATTAGAAATTAAAATTTTAAACTCAAAATTCCTAAAAAAAATTTATTAAGGGAAAATGGCACTTTTTCCCCCTAAGTTATATATTTATAGCACTTTTTCCCCCTCAATTATTTATGTAAGCACATTAGCCCCCTCAATTATTTTAAAAGTGGTGGTTTTTCTCCCTGATATATTAAATTGACATTTCTACCCTTAAAGTAAATATTTTATTTATTTTACTTCTCCAACAAATTATTGTGTATATGTAGCAATGACCACGGTTCGGTTCGAACTGAACCGGACACTATAGCAATCGAATTAAAAGTTTCCGGTTATGATTCAGATCTAGAATCCAATATTTAGATTTCAATTTATTAAATTTATGAACCAAAAAAATTGGATCATGAACCGTGAACCGGCGGTTTCGGATCCGGTTCGTGATTTTGAACCGTCTTTATTTTAAATTTTATTTTATTTTTTATTTTAAAATAGTCTAAATTCAACAATAAATGTATTTTATTTTTTCAGTTCGGAACATGAACCGGCCATTTCGATTTGCGATTTTAATAAACTCTAAATATCGCGTTTTGATTCTAAATTGTAATTGGAATATTTTGGTTTGGTTGCTATAATATCTGTTTGGTTTGAATCAAATTATAGTAATAATTTGTTGGAGAAGAAAAATAAATGAAATATTTATTTTAAGGGTAAATATGTCCATTTAACATTTTAGGGGGGAAAAGAGCCACTTAAATAATTCAGGGGGGAAAAGTGCTATAAGTATATAACTCAGGGGAAAAAAGTGTCATTTTCCCTTTTATTAATTATGTATTGGTAAAACAAAGTAGTTTGAATTTTAAATCAAAAGTATTAAATATGTCAAATTCAATGTCAAAATCGAGCTCGAACTCGAGCTCGAGCATCAGTTCTCGAGCCGAACCTCCATTAACAAGCACGAGCATGAGCATGAGCCTACCCAAGTTCGAGCTCGGCTCGGCTCATTTACACCCCTAGTTCACAACCCTTATCTATACATTGAGTTATTTGAGTCTACAAGGAACTTTCAGAGATGTTATGCCATGGAACCGTGTTCACCATGGTTGGTGAACACGGTTCCATACGACACCGTTTAGAGTGAGTGGGACTAACGGTGCCCGTAAGTGGCACCGTTAACTCCCACCACTCACATTTTTTTTTTTTTTAAAAATTAAACGCGCCATAGCATTTCCGCTTCTCCACTACGCCATTTCACTTCCTCTCCAAGCAACCTCCATCGCTCTGCTCTCTGGAACACCACTCTCGAGCTCTCTTCTATCGCTTCATCTTCCCCAGCCATTTCCTTCGATCACTCTCAAACACTCTGCTCCACAGCCATTCACCTCTGCTCTCGGATTCCTTGTTCTCGCATTTGTAAAACAAAATTTGACGTTCTCACGTAGCTATCAAAGGATACAGCCTCTCCATTGCTCATTCTCAACGTTCCTTCACTTGTATTACAGGTATTTTCGTGTTTATGATTTAGGGTATTTGTATTCTGTGTACATATTTCGAAATTTTGAAATGGGGTTTTGAATGTAATGTTATGAGCTTATGAATGTATATCTGTAGCATTATATACGTGTAGATTAACCATTATGAATTGATTCGTATATGGTTTTTACTGCTGTTTATTCACTTTCTATGCAAGCTTTGAATGTCCATAACGTCCATTCACTTATGTATTTTATGTCATGCAAATATGTATTTTATGTCATGCAAATATGTATTTTCTGTGTGAGATTATGAATTTTCTATTGTGCCTATGAAATTACATTTTTGCTGTTATGAACTTTCTTATATGTGGTTATGTATTTTCTGTTAGAGATTATGAATTTTCTCGTATGAGAGTATGAATTCTGTATTGTGAGTTGTCAATTTTATGTTCTGTAGTTATGAATTTTCTATGTTGCAGTTATGAACTTTCTGTTTTGGAGTTATGAATTTTCTGTCCTGAGGTTATGAATTTTCTTTGTGAGATATTATGAATTGTATGTTACTATACTATCAATTATATGTGACTGTTATTGATGGACAATATGGAATTATGGATTTTCTCATATGAGATTATGGATTCTGATCTATATTGCAGTTATGAACTTTCTGTTCTAAGGTTATGAATTTTCTGTTCTGGTATTATGAATTTTCTTTGTGAAATTATGAATTTTATGTTACTATATTACCAATTATGTGTAACTGTTATTGAAGGACATTATATTCTTTTCGGTAGAGCATGGCTGGATTTATTCGGCACTCCCCATCCCCCCTCTACTGAAATAAGGAATATATTTTCCTTCCATCAATCTATATTATATGTTGTATATGAGTTACTTGCTTTCTAACGTTTTTAATAAAAGCAATGGACACTGCTCAACGAAGGACAACACGCTCACAAACAAAGGCAGTCTTGAGCTCTCAAGCTGCAGAACCATCACAACCCTCACAGACGGCGGCTGAACACAACACTGCAGTCACCCCTACAACAAAAAGCAAGAGAAAAAGAACAACACGGGCTGTACTTGACTCACAGGCTGCTCAACCATCCCAGCAGCACTCTGATGACCTGCTCGAGCAAGAAGTTATTAGAGAAAAGAGGTCAAAGCAAATAAATGACAGACATAGGGGCAACACAGACATTGGAGGTGATTGTGCAGAGGGGAGTTCTACTCCCTACTTCAGCACACGGATGGGACCAAAGACCATGTTTAGGCTTGTACAACAACTACTGCCAGAACAAAAACAAGATGTCCGTGATATTGGATTTGGAGCCCTGTTGGACCTTCAATTGTGCGCAAATGAGTCACAATTAGTTCAGTATTTGATAGCCAACTTTGAGGTTTTCCAAACACATTTCAAGCTGGAGAACGACAAGCTCACAGTTGATGAAGAGGACGTTGAGTACACTCTTGGCATTCCAAGAGGAGAAAAGAAGGTTGTTGAGGCCCCAAAATATGATGAACAGGGGACACCAGAATACAGGGCTCTCTTGAAAAGCTGGAGGGAACGGTGGAATATTAAGCTTGGTTCCCCAGTCACTACCCAGATGGGAGATGTCATAGTTCAGAGGGGAGATTCTGGAGATGACTTTAAGAGAGACTTCATGGTCTTGACTGTTTCATGCATGATGAGGGGATTTCAGAACCGCTACTGCAACAACAGAATCCTCAACTCCTTGATTAATGTTGACGAGATAAAGGAGTACAACTGGTGTGGCTACACCTACAACTCTCTGATCAAGTCCATCGAGCAGTACAGGAAGAAAAGTAATAGCTTCTTTACTGGACCAATGACATTCATATTGGTAAGCTCTAGCTCCACTTATGAATCTTATGATATTCAGATTGTAGATTATATGTGTTAGATTATGAATTTTCCTCTATGTGATTATGAATTTTTCTCTATGTGATTATGAACTTTCCTCTATGTCTCAGATTATGAATCTTCCTTTATCTGATTATGAATTTTCCTTTATGTGATTATGAGTTTTCCTATATGTGATTATGAATTTAGAGTATGTGCTTATGTATTTTATGCTATTCAGATTTTATGAGAATTATGTGTCAGATTATGAATTTTCCTTTGCCAGATTATGAACTTTCATTTACCAGTTTATGAACTTTCCTCTATGTGATTATGAATTTTCCTCTATGTCTCAGATTATGAATCTTCCTTTATCTGATTATGAATCTTCCTTTATGTGATTATGAATTTTCCTATATGTGATTATGAATTTAGAGTATGTGCTTATGTATTTTATGCTATTCAGATTTTATGAGAATTATGTGTCAGATTATGAATTTTCCTTTGCCAGTTTATGAACTTTCATTTACCAGTTTATGAACTTTCATTTACCAGTTTATGAACTTTCCTTTACCAGTTTATGAATTTTCCTCTATGTGATTATGAATTTTCCTCTATGTCTCAGATTATGAATCTTCCTTTATCTGATTATGAATTTTCCTTTATGTGATTATGAATTTTCCTATATGTGATTATGAATTTAGAGTATGTACTTATGACTCTTATGCTGTTTAGATTTTATGAGAATTATATGTGTCATATTATGAATTTTCCTTTATGTGATTATGAATTTACAGTATGTACTTATGAATTTTATGCTATTTACATTTTGTGAGAATTGTATTTGTCAGGTTATGAATTTTCCTTTATTTGATTATGAATGTTCCTTTATGTAATTATGAATTTTCCTTGTTATCATTATGAATGTTCTTATAGTATTATGCAATAATGAATCTCATAATAGAAAGTTCATAATTGCATAACATAAAATCCATAATATGATAGTTGAATATAATGTTCATATGGATTATGAATTTTCTATTATGATATTATGAATTTTCTGTAGTGTAATTATGAATTCTGTGATTATAACTTTTTTATTTTACCTTTTTGTTCAACATTGTAGCTATTCTACTTTGATCGGGTCCAATTCAAAGGAATGAGCATTCAAAGAACATATCCAAGCATTACTGCATGGACAAGTAAACTTGCACGGCAAAGGGTTTCCGCTGAGAAAAGGTCGGGCGGATATGGT